TATAGTTGTAAATCAACTGTGTCTGAGCAAAGAAATCAGGCTGTATTGAAAAGAGCTGACATCACTGCAATCATCCACTGATGTGTGTGTTGATGGTACAGTATACCGTACTGTGGTTTGATAACTCAGAGGATCTATTTTCAAAACTACTTTTAACAAAAAAAGTCAACTCCGTGAGATCAGTGCTCGGAACCAAAGAAACCCCACGAGGGCATAAATAAGCATGTGAAAGTGTCTAGTAAGCATTTCCGGAAGTATTACTCATTCTCAGCTGTGTTTAAAGATAGTGGTTACAGATGTGAAGGGGTCATATGGGAATGGGATTCTCAGTTCCCTTGTTTAAGAGGTAGGGAAGGCTTATCATGTGTCATGTGGGAATGGGAATCCCTTTCATAATAACCAGAGATTTTATTTATTTATTTATTTATTTATTTTTTTTAGTGTCGAGACCTCATTGCACCTCATTCCCTGTAGGAAACCAAAATGTTTCCAACCTAATAAATGTTTCCTGTGCACATTTTTCCCTCCGGATCTTCTGAAATATGAGGTCAATAAGGGGTTGAAATTTGAAGTTACATTTGTGCTACCAGCAGGCTAACACTCCTGTTCACTGAAATGACGTGACTTGAAAATCTACTATTAGACACTATTATTTACCAAAAATCAAATATAGGCTACTACTGCCAGAGCTCTAATCACATTTGACAAAGCTTGGTGGTTTGCGTGGGGTATTTTGATGAAGTTGCCAATCTAATGATGTCAGTTCAGTGCCCACTACACTGACGACACAACTTCATAGGTCTACAGGAAATGGTACAGGCATGGTGCTATGGTGCTTTGCAGCAGTGGCAGTTCTCAGGGACCCCCAGACGGTCCACATTTTTGCTTTACGTGGTGTGAGTTGGGTTGGAGCAAAAATGTGGCCTGTCTGAGGGTCCCTGAGGACCAGTTTGAAAACCATTGCTTTACATGATGAAGCAGGTATAGTTGACACATTTGAACTTGTTGAAGTAGTTGCCAAGTTATTTATTTTTAAGGAGATATTCCTGAGGAGACGACATATAAGACAGTCCTAACAACCATACAAGAGCTGGTAGAGCTAGACCATCAAAACTGTCACCACAGATAAAACAGTGCTTTCATCTTTGAGAGATGGGCGACAATCAAACTGTACTCCTGTTTCAGATCTGGAAAAAAAGCACAGGTGTTTCCGTCCATCCTCACATTGAAAGAAGACAACTCGATGCTCTGAGTCTGAAAGGATGTTAGACACACAAAAAAAGTGGAAACCAGACAAAGAAGCTGCTGGTGTTCTCAGAACAATGGACTGGCCACCCCAGTGTCCAGACCCCAATATCATTGAATGTGTTTAAGTTAGTCGGATCATGAAACACATAAAATGCAACCAATGCAACCAACTTCTAAGATTAAACTTTGGAGCTGTGGAAAAAAGACCCTGAAGATTTTTTGTAAAATCGAAAGCAAGTCGCCCAAAAATAATGGAAGCTGTAATAAAGGCAAACAGTGGACTTAATTAGTACTAAAAATGTCACATTATGCTTAGTTGTTGTGTAATTTTCTGATAAATATGTTTTTCTTCTCCTGACATGAAAAATGAATAACTTGGTTAGTAGACGTTTAACTTAAAATGAAATAAATGAAGGGTGGTCTCTGACTTTTGCACAGCACCGTATATAGTAGGTGTAGGTGATGACTAACTAGTGTAGGTACAATGTTCCTAATGAACTGTCAGCTTGGTGAAGTAAAATCATAAAACATTTCATTTTGAATGTTGCAAGGCCGGCGTACGAGAACTATGAGGCACTTGAGCTGAGTGGGCGTATCAGAAATGGAGCTTTGATGTGAAATGAGTCAGTGTCTTTGAAAGCAATCATTAAACTTTGACCCCAGCCCACGAGTATACATGTTTTTTATTGTGAGAAACCAGGAAGGTCAGATCAAACTGTACATGGACATTCAAGTGGGTTTAGGATTTGACATAAGTAATAGGTTTCTGATGTACAAGCCTAATACCTCAAATATTGTTTCATGAGTGTTTTGATATGGCCTATAATGTATTTTTTACATCCATTCATGGCAGAGTGGTACAGGATAGGCATTTAAGGCAAAAGAGCACCCAAGGACTTACCATTATCGACGTTACATATAAAAACTCAGACTACATGTTAGGTTCCCTGGTCATATTTGAACGAGAAGCTGACTGCAGCTTCGCAACTTTTTAGTGTTTGAATTGCAGATTGAACGTATCAGGAAACCAGCTGGAGTGATTTATAAATGCAAATCAGTCCATTCGTCTCCAAATTTTCAGAATTATTGCTCGTCTTAAATCTCTCTCTTTGCCGTTTCGTTAGCTACTTGCTAGTCAAGACTGTTGTCTGCATTGCTATGGTGAGCAGCAGCAGGTCTTCAGGGTTAAAGGGTGAATTAGCAGTTCTACAATAACTCCAGAGTTTAAGACCATTTACTGTTAAACTGTGTTGAACGATCAGCAGAGCTTTATTTTACTGTAAAGGAGGATTATTTTATTTTTACCTACTAATCTAATTCTGCTGTAGGGCCACAACAGGACAGTAAAAGAGTGTAAAAGGGTGATGGCCAATTAGTGTAGGTACCTAATGTAAAGACTTAAAACAGATATAATTTTGGATGTTGTAAGGCCTGCATACAAGAACTTCACCCAATGTACTCGAGCTGAACTTGCACAGTGAGTGTATTTGAAATGCAGCTGTCTGCAGCTTTGACTGCAGGCATTCATGGCAGAGTGGTACAGGATAGGTAAAATAGCCAGATTTAGCACTATTTTAACATTAGAAACATTACATATGAAAACTCAGACTACATGTTAGGTTCCCTGGTCATTTTGGATAGTAAATAAAATGGCTGTATATGCATTGCGGACTCTGGTTCCTATTACCGCCACCTTAAAGACCTCTAAGTCTGTGAATTTCTCTACAATAAACGTGTAAAGATCTCAGTGATTGAATTATGCAGACATTTTGAAGAATTAAGAGATCTGGGGCTACAGCTGTCTGTGGCCAGGAGTCCAAGAGAGCACAGTTGGCCTCGCTCTCTGGGTGGGTAGAATGGCCCCCTTCTTCCCCCATCCCTCAACGCAATGCTAGTCAGTGTTGACGTAACAGAACTGACGGTTGGTACTTTCCAATGACGTTGTGTGAGCGTCGTAGGTCTCGGAGGAAGCCTGTGCTAGCCTTCGCCCTCCTAGCGCTGGTAGTATCGTGTAATTGGGGGAGTCCTAACTAGTGGGTGTAATCAGAGACGACTAAATTGAGGAGAAAATTGGGGAAAAAAAATCCAAATTTTTAGCTATATAGCTGTTGGTAATACATGTTTTCTGTTCTGGAAAGACACTTGGATGACAACTACATGTCCAGAGTTTGCAGCATAGAAGTTTATTTTCATAATTCCATGTCCTGAAGCGTAAGTAAAGGTCAATTTCAGCATTTGTTGTGGACCCTGATAAACATTTGATACACTGATGCAGCTAAACATACTCATTTAAATACAGCAGCACACTGTGCAGAGCTCCTCTCTGTTGGTACATGTTAAGGGCTGGTTTATGATAAGGGCAACACAATCAAAGATAAATAATAAATAATAAATAAATGAATGTGAACCTGATTCAGCAAAGATATGATTTTCAGTATAAACCTGAAAAAAATGTATGTTTTTCTAGCAGTTGTATTTCAAGTGTGAAGTGTTGTACATAGCTGGTAAGTTAAGTGCAGAAGTAGAAAGTACCAAATTATGCTTACTCTCGTTTCTGTACACTCTTGAAAAAAGATGGTTCTGCAAGGGTTCTTTTTTGGTTCTATATAGAACCATGAACAATTAAAGAACCATTTGCATGATTAAAGGGTTCTTTGCATGGTTCTTCAGACTGATGGAGAATGTGTTTCATATGGTTCTATACAAAACATTTCTGAAAACGGTTCTATATAGCACCAAAAAGGGTTCTGCTATTATCTCAGGATTATTTTTTATTTTATTATTACTTTATTGGAAACAGATAAACTTTGGGTATATAATCACCTAATCAGGAAATGCATGTAGATTTATGCAAATCTTTTGCTTACACAGTTCAGACTATTCAGTCTCTCAATTTTTTCCCCTTTTTTCTAGTTTCATTGACTTTTGTTTGCACATATACAGAAAAGTAATTAAATTCTCAAGTAGTTTTACAATAAACTACTTATTTATTTTTACTTAAGTAATTCCCTTTATTAATACTTTACTTGTACTCAAGTAAACACAGTCTTTTTATATAAAGAGGAATTAAAATCTCTACATATTTAAGTCGTTAAGATGTAAACTGTCATTCAGAGCGATTTGATGGGAAATGATTCAAGAGAAACTTGCTGATTAGGTGTCTTTACAGTGGTGGTGATATGAACCAGTGGTTGTGTTGTCTACAACATGAATATAGCCATAACCAGTGAACTTACTCGTCTTCAGAGGTTTTAATGTAATGTTGATGATGGTAAAATAGGGATAAATCTGGAAAAATATTTTCTTAACCTCTTATTCTACAGGGTATATTTTGGTTTGTCCATCTGAATTTACATGACCAAATTGTAAGGCAAATTATTCAGTAACTGCATGAAATAAATGTACATTTTTATTTTATTTATTTATTTTTTGTAAAAGCTCACCTCAGATTAACAGGACGTGTTTTATGATCCTACACATATTGCTATATGCTCACAATTTACTGCTGAAAGCCAAAAATCTTAGACGCTCTGTATTTTTTTATAAAAATAATTTTTACAGAGCAGATCACTGAACAGTTTATAGATTATAGCCCAGATTTGTGAAAAAATGGGTCGACTTTCAGTAGAAAAAAAAATTGTGAGTTCAGCTTCTTTTATTATAAGGGTTTAAAATGACATAACCCATCTATTTGACTGTAAAGAAGACAGTTACAGCTCTCATACGACCCCCACCTTTTGAATGTAGCTTATGAAATATGAAAGTTATGAAGAATATGACGAAGTGCGTTTTGGAACCACCGGTGGTCCCAAGGAGCTGAAAAGGTTACGGGATTTATTTTGCCCCACAATGCCTTATATGTACAGTTACGCCATGAATGGTTTTTAAAATGATACTTTTTAGGCCAAACCTTTACCTCGAGTCTGAAGTAAAACAGTGTCTCAGACTTGTATGTAAAACATGTCTCACGTACTTTCTGTGAGGGAGCTTTTAGAGGTGGACGTCTGGTTCCTATCACCACCACTGTGAACAATTCTGACTCTGTGGCTAAGTTTCTTTAGAACAAAGTGGAGTTCCCCTTTAAGTAGGAATTTTCAGTACTCTTTCCACCCCTGTAAGTGATTAAACCTAAAATTATTCACCCCAACTCAATGAAATCAATCAACCTGAATTTAAACTCATGAATTCAGTGGTTCGAACAGCCACAGAGCGTAAACACTGAGGTTATAGAGGTTTCTTTCTGTGACTCTGTAAATGATTCTCTGCAGTTATTTACAGCTATAAAAATAGCTCATGTCCCTGTTATCAAAGATTTAGCATTTCCGATTATCTAATCTGTGCAACTCCTAAACCCTCTGCTGTTTCAGTCCCACAAACTGGCCTGCCAGTTGCAGCATTCAGCCATGACCCCCTGACTGGGCCTGACTAATGGTTCTGTTGCCTGCTCAGTGCTTCCCCCAGTCTCTTCATCAGCTCCGCAAACTGCTCGGTCTCATGAGACTTCTCCTCCAAGAGCTCGTAACGTAAACTTGAGATGTCCTGCTTTATTTCCTTCAGTTCCCCTGTGAAGAGAAGCAAACTGTTGGTGACTGTTATAGAGATTCTGTGTAACACACATTCCACACATTCTCAATGTCATGTCATGGTTTAAAAGAATCCCTAGATAGCTTAGAACTGAGTTTCCCAACCTTTTCTAACTTGTGGCCCACAAACCTGACCATAAAAGCTTCTTGGGCCCACAAGATTTATCCAATCAGACCATTTAACGTGCAAACAAATAATACAAAAATCATTGCAGCCTGTCAGTTTTGCTTGATTTTATAATTTAACACAATGTAATAAATGCAAAAAACATTTTCTATGCCACCTTATGAGTTAGCTGATGTTTGGCAGCTGCCAGATGACATGCTGAGGAAATTTAAGTTCCCCCAATGTCTAGCTCAGTTCAGGTTCATATTTGTTTAGCCTCCAATTTATGGCATAATTTATTTGGCATCAAAGCTTTATATAAATAAAGACCTGAGCATACAGCACAGAGTGGTAGTGACTCGTTTTCTGTTCTCATTCATTCACAGAGTGAGAGTCTATTTATGTGGCATATTTGGATGTCATTGACTTCATTCGATCACATATATTACTAATGATATTTTGCACAACATGATTTTTCGAATGGCCGAAATGCGACAATTTTATTCACACCCTCTGATATATGTGAACTTCCGCTGATGACATTTGCCTTCTGCTTTCTCACTGACTGTGTTAGGATCTCCAAAATCAGCTCAAACGGAGCCCAAACTGAGTCAATCAATCAATCAACCTTTATTTAAACTCGGAACACATTGAGGGAGACCCTCATTTACAATGTAGCCGAGTAATACAGGAATCAGGGATTGAGAATTGTACAGGAAAAAAAATAAATCAAATACTATGATTAAATAATTTAAAAAAAGTAAAATTTAATAAGAAGGTACCAATAAACTGTTAAATCAATAAATTATTAAAATTACAATACAGTAATTTATCAAGTAACAGCAGATAAGGATAAAATAAATAAAAACAAATTAATGAAATAAAAGAAATGGATGTAAAACAATAAACTGACAATAATAAAATAAATAAAAAGAATACTAATAAAAGAATAAAAACACTGATAAAAAGTAAAGAAATAAAAGTACAAAAGCAAAAAAGTAAAAGTAAAAAGTATCAAACATCTGAAATGTTTTCGAAAGCTCTCAAAGTTCCAGCTCTGTAATGAGGTGGTGAAACACTCTGCTCCTCTCATTTCCATTCTGGAAAAGTCCATTCACTGTCATTATGTACCCATTTCACGAGGAGCAAACGAGGCCTTTGTCACGAACATATTCTGCCCATTTGTTTGTTTTTGCGGTGGTGAGATAAGGCTTGGTACTCAGTATACGGTGGCTGTTATGCCTGTAAGTGCTCCAGCCTCAGGATATTTCTTTTGGAATTACCCTGTTTGTAACCATTTATCCATGACTGATGAATTCCAGATGAACAAAAAGAGAAACATTGTACTTTGTCTTGCACTAATAATGTAAACACAGCTAGCATTTTATCATGAATGAGGTCGACCTACATATTTTGGACAAAAAGTTTGTCATATTTAAATAATATTTCTGGTTAAAAAAGGGTACCACTAGCAGTCCCACTGCAGTACACTGGGGGGCTGTGGCCCAAAGGATGACCAATGGCTTAGAGGAATGTTTTGGCAAATAAAACTCTATACACAAAAAATCAAAAACACATTGTTTTCCTCTTACCCTGTTTGATTCAAACCGAAACTATGAGGTTAACATTGCTAACATATACTAATAGTCAAAGATAGTCAAAGGTCACCCACATCTATTCTGTAAATACATCCTCAAAACATCTCAACCCACTCAAAGTGGAGAATTTTAAAGCTGGAGAAAATAGGATCCAGGAATTGTGATCACTACAACACAAGTAAAGTAATTTTATTTGCTCAAAGATTTGACCACCCACATGTATCTTCTGACTTTTTATATCCCTGTTGTCGGAAGAAAACCTTGTATCTCCAAAATGGTAACTTTACAGGAGAGAGAAAAACCTACTTTCCTTTTAATGTAAGTCAATGGAACCAAATTCACACACAATGCAAAGAGCAACAAGTATTTTCAAAATATGTCAAAAACTCAAAAACAACAAAAATGGAGATTTTTGTTGGATGAGGTTTTCTTCCGACAACAGCGATATACAATGTAGATAGTTGTCGGTGATCAATTCCAAAAAATAAATTCTTTAAGTACTACTTTAAATACATTAAATACATTTTAAATACATTTTATGTCAAAATCTAACCTGAAAACTGTGATATATCAGGCAGGGTTTTCATAACCACTTAATTTAATAGCCTTCTGTGAGCTTTTAGTGCTATTAAACTTTATTAAAATTGACTGATACACCAATGACGATACACATAAAGAGCTTGCACATCACAGACACTGTCCCAAATGCAAAGGTTTAAACTTAACCCTCAAAATTTTCCGGCTCTACAGATGTGCATGTTGTTTAGGTCTTTAAACTGTGGACTGTGAAGAGGACTACAGGGCTTAATGTGCCATTTGGGACGGGGCTTTAAACTACACGGGTGTTGTGCCAGATTCCCTCTTCCCTTTGTGTGCATGCATGTCACGTAGGCTTATGGATGCTACACATTACATCTGCAGTGTTTGTAGTTTCTGTCTATAAAACACTGTTAACCTTGAATTTTTGAAACAACAGAAATTACGAATCTAATCTAGTGTCCATTTACATTTCCATTACATTACAGTTTAATGTATATAGGGAGTCGGATTCTGTGAGGGAAATTCGGAATTTGGCTGTGCAAAGTGAGCGCCCACAGCGTTCAGCTACATGGAGACGTTGTGTGTCCTAAAACACATCAAGTCTGTGCGACATCAGTGAAGACCTGGACATGGTTTGAGTGGAGTCAAGGGGACTTTTGGGGATGTATTTAAAGAAAAGATTTGGGTGACTACTAGTGTTTACTAGCAATGTCAGTCTCTTAACTCCAGCTACAAATAAGCAAAGTTTGAACTCAAATTACTCAAATTACATCTGCGGTACGTGGAAAACATTACATTCGATTTTTGCCAAACCACCTCTTTAAAGAAACTGTTAGAAACCCAGGTCTTACAAGAAGAATCTAAAGGAAAGACTTTTTTATCTTACATGTAGCTCCTTTAAAATCAACTGAATATATAAGTCTAGGCCTGGTTACATCTGCAAAAGTTACACAAAAATAAAACAAAAAAAGCTGCGACTCTGTTCCACTGATTATATACATTTTATGGGCAGCTATTTTTGAAATTCGGCTTGAAACTGGGTGAAAGGAGAGAAGTATAGCATAAAGAGCATTATGGATGTATTCCAATACAACATAAAACACACCATACCTTCATTGACTTCATCACTCTCTTTGTCCATCTGTGCTTTGATGATGTATCTTTTGATGAGTCGTTTCATGATCCTCTGTTGAGGAAACAGACGCAAATAATGTCAAAGGTTTACATTATGCAATAATGACTGCATTTTACAAGGCCTGGTTTAAATAGGGATATTTTCATCAAGAATATTTACCCGATAACGACTTGATCGGGGTGATCCTCTGTAATTTGAACCTTTTTGTTTGCCCATCTGAAATTAAAGCAACACATGTTGTAGGTATATCAATATGAATCCGCTGTCAGCGACTTTCCTTGTTATAACATTAACAAGCCACTATGGGGCGCCATTTACCCACAGTCAGTGGCAATGTGAGATCACAGACCAGTGCTCTGTTTGTTTAAGTGGTAGAAGTGATTATATGAGTCCTTTCTTACACTGATGAGTCACAGTGTACACAGCTTCTGATTTGAGGGTGGAACAAATTCTCAAACAAGGTCTAAAAGCAATTGTATAGTCTTATGTACCCTTTAGGAGCCACGGCGACTGGTGGACTAATTTTTGGATTTTAGAATATCAACCTTACAGCAGCATCTGCTAAAACGTCTGACATATCGTCACTGTCCAAAAAAAATACCAAGTATCTCCAAAACTGTAACTTTACAGTAGAAGGTTAAAATGACCCTCAAACCGTTCTTAAGAAGAAATTTCTTCCTAAAACCCACTTACACAGTTTTGACTAAGATTCTGACTCAGCAATGTTCTCTTATCTGAGATTTGTTCTTAGATAAGAACAGAATCTACACACTCAAGAGCACGAAGGTGTGAACAGTCCTGCGCTTTAAGACTGCATCATGAATCTGACGTAGACTTTTCCTTCGGACCTTTTTCAAGAACCATTTTAAGAAAAAAATTAGGAATATACGGGTGAATGAGGTGTTCTTAAATTTTAGTGGTTGTTAATGTAAAGTGATTTCATTCCAAGTCATTTTTGAGCATTTCTATTGGGTCATTCATCTGTTCAAATGATGTAGAAAAATAAAAGCAGGGAGAAAAAGTTAAGTGACCCTTATTAGTCCCACAATGGGAAATTCACCTCCGGATTTGGCCAGAGCGAACGGTAAACTCCTATGTCTCGTTTGTCTGGCGGAATAGTGAAGTTACAAGCCTATAAACACTTGGCATTCAGTTTATGCTGATCTGCTGCTCGAGAATAGCCCTGAGTGTATTTGCTGTCGTTTTTTTCTTTGTAATGAGACAAATTAAGGATTAAAGGCAGAATGGAAAACTTATAGGAAGTCATCTTTAGTCTCATCCAGTTAGCTTGTGCATGGGAGTTTAATACAGTTGACTCGTATTACATAAACCTCTATTAAGATTAAGATTAAGTGACCCTTATTAGTCCCACAACGGGTAAATTTCACTTCTGCATTTAAACCCATCCGTGCAGTGAAACACCACATACACACTAGTGAACACACACACTAGGGGGCAGTGAGCACACTTGCCCAGAGCAGTGGGCAGCCCTATCCTCAGCGCCAAGGGAGCGGTTGGGGGTTAGGTGTCTTGCTCAAGGGCACTTCAGTCACATACTGCCAGATCAGGGGATTGAACCGGAGACCTTCTGGTCACAAGGCTGGTTCAAGTTCAATATTTCTGCACAACTGAATCATTAAGATGTAATCAAAGTTATTCAGAGCACAGTTTCTCAGAAGCAATTTAGTGCTAAGATGATCTTAACTGGTAGAGAGAGTGTTCACTGTGATGCTCACTGGGAAACCCAGTCCAGAGTGGTTCAATGTTGTTGTGTTTTTTTCTCGGCCCACAGTGGTGATGAGAACCAGGGGTCATGGTGTCTAAATGCAAATATAGGCATTCATTTACTATCCAAATTGATATTGCTGATAACAGTAAAATTGTGGTAAAACTGAAAAAATACATTTTCTTTGGGGAAATGGAGGCGCCAGAAAGGGCTGCTGCCATAGACAGACCACTTTTGGTTCCCTAAAGAACGTTTCAGTGGATGGTTTGTGCTTTAGAGAGACATTTGTATAAGTAATAAGTGTGAGTGTGTTGAACCTTTTTAAAGTAATGTAAAGGTTCTAGGAAGAATGTATTTTAAAAAATGTATTAGGTCAAAAACAAAAGATGTGTGGAAATGTATGAGTGTTTCAGACGTCTGGTTCCCACGGAGCCCCAGAGGGGATGTGGGTAAAAAAAAATCATTAATTCAAGTGCACATTTTGCAGTTCATATGCATGTTTTCTTTTATATATGGTCACAATTTCTTAAATCGTTCTCTCCTTTTCTTTTAATCATGGTCATGTTTTATTTTTAACTAAACGCACATTGTTAGTTTTTTTGATTTGTGCACAAACAACATAAATGTAGTAGATACAGGCTGCTAACAGCTCCCTGACACTGTTTTGATGTGTTAGATTGATGAGATAATGGACAGAGACGCTCATTAGGTCTGATTTTGATTTGGGGGGTTATGAGGAAACTGCAGTTCCTCTTCACAGCGAACGGCCCTCAATGTTTCTGCTCCTGCGTCAGTGTTAGAGACCATCACACAATCACAGGAAGAAATGATCAGCATTTCAACATCCTCACATTAATACACCGATCATGCATAACATTATGACTCACTGAGCGTCGAAACAAGGAGGTGGTCATAATGTTATGTCTGGTCAGTGTATATCTACATCTAACCTGTGTGTGTTTAATTTGAGTTTGTTGAAACGTTGACACTGATCGTTTCTTCCTGTAATTGTGTGATGATCTCTAACACCGTAGCTAACCCTAACCCTAGGAGCAGAAACAGGGCTAAGCGGCTGCGCTGCATCTATATCTCCGCTAAATAATCATTAGAAAGTGCAGTTTAGTGAAGATTGTGGTTGTAGTTTATTGTCTTTCTTCATTTCTCCACCAAACTGCAGCTGCACTGATGAGTCTGTGGGCCGTTTGCTGTGAAAAGGAGCTGCAGTTTCCTCATAACCCCCCAGACCTGATGAGCATCTCTGTCCATTATCTTATCAATCTAACATATCAAAACCCGTCAGACAGTCTCAGAGAGCTGTTAGTTACTTCTGCACAGGACAAATAACAGAGCCTGTAGCTACTACATTTATTTTGCGCACGAATAAAAAAAACAAAAAAAACAATGTGCGTTCAATTAAAAATAAAACAAGATCTTGATTAAAAGAAAACGAGATCGAATTGGAAAATCGTGATTGTGAATTAAAAAAAAACATACACACGAAGTAAAGAAAACATGCACACTATTAAAAGAAAACGGGGGAATGATTTAAGAAATTGTGACCATGAATAAAAGAAAACGTGCAAAACGTTCACTTAAATTAACAATTTTGTTTTTTTAATCTCCGTCCCCTCCGGGGCTCTGCAGGTTCCTGTTACCCCTGCTGTGAATTATTCTGACTTGATAATTTCTCTATAACAGAGAAATATTCAAACAATTCTTCTGGTTTTAAAGCCCAGGCTCAGTCTGGTTTGCCTCTGTCTCACTTCATTGAGCTCGGTGTCCTCCTTTCCTCCATCCTTGTGTCCGTGCAGAGGCATCAGAAGGGCCTGCTTGATCTTCACGGCCAGGCTGACCACAGACTTGGGGCTGGGAACGAGGTTAAAAGGCACAGGCAAAGTCCCACCTTCCTCGAAGTATGAGAACCATAGCTTTGCTCTGGCAAACTTCCACTCCACATCTGCATCATCCTGCCAGCCAAAACGGAGGACTAGGTTAGAGATGTGGTCTGCAATGTGTGCAGTGCTGAGAATGATCCACCACCCAAATAGTACCTGCTCTGTGAGGGTCCATGGGGGTCATGACCACTGAATAACAGGGTAAAAGGGGCTAACAAAGTATGCAGAGAAACAGATGGACTACAGTCTGTAACTGTAGAACTACAAAGTGCACCTATATAGTAAGTGGAGCTGATAAAATGGACAATGAGCGTAGAAACAAGGAGGGGGTCATAATGTTATGCCTGATTGGTGTAAGTGCATTATAATTATGCACAGCTCATTATCTATTTATTTAAAAGGCATCGTAATGAATGGTGACATTAGTGGTACTACGGTATGCTGATAAGTAACAAAAAACCTAGCTGTAGATCATAAGTACAGCTTTCTGAAGCATTTTTGGAGTTTATAAATATGCTCACAATGCATTGCTACCAAGTTGCAAAGAGTTACAAGCGCATTTATAGTGGTTTATAAGTGCAGGCTTCATAGAATGTGTTACCAAACCCGAGCCGGTTTATGAGGAGTCTGGCCACTTCCTATTTCTCCCGTTATATCAAAAACAGGACTGCTGAACAGCAGAGGGTGCCCGCGAGGGAGACCTCAATGAATGGGAGTGAATGGAGCTCAACCTAAAATAGCCTCTAATCACTCGCCCAGAACTTTCCTTTAACTTTAGAAAGTAGAAGGATGGATTTCACTACAAAAGCAAAGAAATCTCACCTGTATGTTTCCTTTTTTCTAAACGGGTTTTGGGCAGCAGAACGTTGGCATTACTGCTATTGACTGCTGATTGGTTGGTAAGCGGAGCAGCTCATTGGCTGTTTGCGCTCACAGACGTCATGAACGTACATGAGGCGCCATTTTAAACTCCTATAACTCGAGTTTAAAAGCTCTTAAAAATATAACAGCGGTGTTAAAATGTTTTATGCTGCTCTGTGTTCAGGAAATGAATGTATTCTTTAATATTAAAAATGTTTCAGCATTTCTAAACTAGAATTTTGCTCAAATGCTCCCTATCAACCCATTCATTTTGGACTCGCTCGGGAGCGCCCTCTAGCGTCTGAGAAAACCGGAAGACATTGCAGACTGGTAATTCTACTCTCTACAAGTTCTCTGACCAAACCTTTTTAAAGGCCAACATGGTTTAAAATGTTTACATTTTTGTTTTAATAATAAACGTTTACCAGTGTTTTCAAGAATTATACATAAATTAAGTAGCCAAAAAACATTTTGTCACTGTCCAAAGAAAAACAGCCCTCTCTTAAATGATGACTTTACAGGAAGGGCAAAACTTTCTTTATTTTACATTAACTTACATTGAAAGTAAGGAGATTTTATTAAATGCAATTTTGGACAATTTCTATTGGTCCAATCATCATGAATTTTTTGCTCAGCCAATATAAAGGACAGCTACTGAGCTCAAATTTTGCAGAAAACTAAAAATTGCCAAAAAGATGGAGATGGAGAAGAGATGTTTTTACTTTTTTCTTTCTTTAAGACAGTGACGAATTAGGAACCTTTATTTTTAGGAATGTAGTGGAACTGCTTGAGAGGGATCATAAGTTACTGACTGATGTTTACCAGGAACCTTCAGTCTTGCTGGGTTTTAAGGATTTAATGAGTTGGATAGTGTGTAAGTGTGTGTGTGTGTGTGTGTGTGTGTGTGTGTGCACAGTCCTGATTACCTCAATTTCCTGAAACGAGCTGTTGATCATAGCAATGAGCATGTTGAGGAGGACAATCACCATGGTAACGTTGTACACTCCATACAGGACGTAGCCAATGTTTTCGATGAACTTGTGCCCGTTGTTAATGACCACAGATTTGACCTCAGAAAGTCCAAAAATAGCCCAGAATAACGTTTTAAAGCTCTCTTCGACACTGGCGAGAGAAAACCAAGAGTCATATATTGCGTGTGCCTTCAAAAGAGTAAACCCTATAAAACCAAACACTTGGGTCATTAACTGTGCTTGCTAGCTTGAAGAAGGTCAAACAAAAGTAAACAGGTCACTTCACAGGACACCTAAACAGGATTCTGCTGCTTATCTCTCTCAAGGAATAAGATTCTAGTTATTAATAAAACACCTTGGAATGTGGGACCTTTATCCATCATTAAAGCTGCATGCAGACGTACCACAGCCTGTGTTTTAAAGTCACTATCAGGGATTTTACAACAGCAGAGTCACTCGATTATCTGAAATGGTTAATGAGGATTTGCAGGACGTTAAAATGCCAAAAATGTATCTGTAAAACTTTTGTAAACTTCTGTCTACTGTGCCATTACATATCCAGTCTCGTGTCTCCAGTCCACTCATTGTGAGTCATTCAATTTGCCAGACGCCCACTGGCAGTATGTCTTTGTGTCTCACTGCCAATGACTTTCTGATGTGTGCGTCTGTGTGACAAACTAAGGCATGACCATGCTAGGAAATCACCAGGGAAATGTCTGAAAACATTCATCAAAGTCTTGGTACTTGAAAATACCAGCAACTGGCTGAGTGTCTTCCTCAGCCTTCAGTCATCATTTGATAGGTGTTTAAGGGGTTGAAACAAACATGTACATTACCTGTCAAAGGTTTGGGGACAACTACCTTTTCAAAATGTGTTTAATAATTGAGCATGTTTTAATTGTTAGTTTGCAATAGCTTAACATGTCTTACTATTTTTTGGCAAAACCTAAGGAACAACTGACAAAAGTACTGTCTCGAGAATAACAAGAAATCCCACACATTTATCTCCTTGTATCAGCGCTCAAACCCTTCATTTGTCCAAACCACCTTTAGACCAAACGATTTTCAGTACATGCTTTTTGTTTGGGCAATTTTATTCGATGTCAACTTTTTCACTATTTCTATGCATACGTAAACAAACACACACACACACACACACACACACACACACACACATATATATATATACATATATATATATATGTATATATATATATATATATATATATATATATATATATATAGGTGTCATTCTACAGAAATGTCCACTTTTCTGTCTCTCCATAGGAGTCACTGGTGTTACTGATCCTCATTGGTGTTACACATAATAAAGGAAACACCAGAGACATTTTTAATGAAGAATGCATTTTACTAAACGGCTGCTACAGAGCATCAAACCACATGTTGTCAATCATGGAATATCCACTAAAATATGGAATTTAATCCATTTGTGTTCCATTTTTTCACAGTTACCTCAGAATAAAGTCGGTCACACCAGTGACTTCAGCTAAAAGCTTCATATGAAATCATGAGCTAACTTTCATTATATATTTTATAATATTTATTTGGTATTTGTTTTCTTTGTCATTTAAATCATATATTTCATAGTCATGTATAGATTATTGTAGTTAAAATTGCAGAAAAACATGACCTCAGCCTTTACACATGACTGTGAGGACGAGCTCTTCTGTGGTGACTGGAATTCTAGATAATTGATTTAAAAAACAATATTGCTAAATTGAGGCTGAAGAAGGTGTAATTGTTAAAATAACTTGTTTTATTTTAAAATCTAAATAAATTGTAACCCTAACGTTTTTTACGTGTAATATATTGGTAAATGCTACATAAATGGACGTTTGTGTAGAATGACCCAGGTAGATTATCATGTTTATCCATAGAAACTGGTTATAGTTCAGTTTAGATGTAAAGGAGCCTCCAGTTGGCACCCGTATATCAGTGCTGAATCATGACTATTAGTGCCAGGCCTTTAGTTTAAAATGTAAATATGACAAACAGACTTACAAAAAAGTATGTAAATGCTAATAATAACAGAAAGGAGTAGTAAACTCTGTTTAACCTGTATTACAAACACAATAGTTGATGTTTTACCTTGTGAACTTTATTGTTTGATGTAAAAAGAAGCTTATTCCAAATTTCATGTGTGCAACACGTTCCAAAAATCTTGGGGACAGGAGCATGTTTTCCACTGCTTGACATCATTTTGACAGACACTGGCTTTTATGCTAGTAACAATATGGATGTTCCTTGTCTTTTTTGGCCCAGAGAACTCAATTATTTCTATCCTAACAGCTGGGATAGGCTCCAGCAACCCCCGCCCCCCCCCCATGTGACCCAGAAGGATAAGCGGTTTAGAAAATGTGTGTGTGTGTGTGTGTATTTACATTTCACCTATTGTCCCAACTTTTTTGTGTGTTTATAAAAAAATTGAGAAACAAAACGCAAAGATTACCTTTATGATGATGTTAATCTCTGACTAACAGTGATATTAATCCCACAGCACCTGTACGTTAGCACTAAGCTAAAGCTGGTACACATGAACATTATTTGGCGGTTGTAGATTAAACATGGACAACTGAAGACCCATGATACAAGGGTATGTAAACTTATGACTGTCATATCAGTTATTTTAATGATTAGTTAAATACATGAACATTTCAGTGATGATAAATAGGATAATCTGACTGCTAAATAAAGAAAATTCCTCTGCCTACTTACGTTGTGAAGGCATTGTTCTGCTTCGCTCCAAGATAGTAGGAATAGAGGTTGAACATGCCGATCATGAAGGCCACGAACACCATGATGAAGATCACCATGAACTTGAATATGTCTTTAACAGTCCTGCCCAGGGAAATCTGCAATGGGCCAAAACTTTCATTGGCTGGCAGGATGTATGCAATCCGGGAGAAGCTCAGCACCACAGCAATGGCATAGAGACCCTCTGAAATCAGCTGGGGGTCAGAAGGCACCCAGTAGACACGTGCTAAATGACAAACAAGACTCTGGTAAGTCAAATGTGATCAGTGCAGAGGATCAAGTGAAGCAAGAGAGGATACATATAATATATATATATATATATATATGAAGTTCAGCTGAAGCCATTACATTGATTTCTCATATATTATTTCTCATAATTTATGATTAAATGTTGTAACGTAGTATGGGGAATATACTGACATATACATTACATGACCAAAAGTATATACACTCCTCCTAATCACTGAATTGAGGCGCATCAGCCACACCCATTGGTTGCAGGTATATAAAATCAACACACATATCTTTGCTATCTCCATAGACAAACACTGGCAGTAGAATGGGTCGTACTGAAGAGCTCCATGATGCGCCACAAGTCGGTTTGTGAAATTTATGCCCTGTTAGAGCTGCCCCAGTCAACTATAAGTGTGATAATTGTGAAATGTGAAGGTTCAGGAGCAACAACAGATAAGCCACGAAGCGGTAGACCACAAAACTCACAGAGCTGGGCTGCCAAATCTCTAAAAAATCTCTTATTCTCTGTTTTATCACTCACTACAGAGTTCCCAACTACAAGCATGATCAGTACAAGAACTGTGCGTCCGGAGCTTCAGGAAATGGGTTTCCATGGCCGAGATATCAATATCACTATCTAGTGATTTAATGGATAAATCTGGGTTTGGCAGGTGCCAGGAGAATGCTACTTACCGGAAAGCACAGTGCCAGCAGCAAAGTTTGGTGGAGGAGGGATAATGGACTGGGGCTGTTTTTCAGGATTTTACTAAAACCCCTTAGTTTTAGTAAAGGGTGATGTTAATGTTACAGCACACAAAGTCATTTTACACAATTACATGCTTCCAACTTTGTGGCAACAGGTTAGAAAAGGCTCTTTCCTGTTCCAGCATGACTGAGCCCCAGTGGACAAAGTGAGCTTTGATGAGTGAGCTTTTTTCCAGTGGTCTGCACAGAGCCCTGACCTCAACCCCACTGAACACCTTTTGGACAACACACACTAACACGCCTCCACCACGTCAGTGTCACTGCAGTGGTGAGAATAATACCTGCTGTGTGGTCCCGTGAGGTTCCCGACCGTTGAAGAACAGGGTGAAAGGGGGCAAAAAATGACCTTCATCCATCAATCTATCTATCTATCCATCCATCCATCATCTAAACCGCTTATCCTTCTGGGTCGCGGTGGGGTGCTGGAGCCTATCCCAGCTGTCATTGGGCGGAAGGCAGGATACAGGTCGGCAGTCCATCGCAGGGCTCTATCTATCTTTTATATATATATATATATATATAGCCTAATGCATCCCTATGGCTCAGAGGTTTCCTGGGACTCCCAGAATCTTCTAGAGACCCTCCAGCAACCTCCAATCACGGATCTCTCTCTCTCCTGAATACTGATCTGTAACACCTGTTGACCTCTCATTAGCTTTAGTATAAAGCCCGGGCTACTGAGTGTTTATTTCCTGTATTGTGTTTTCCGGTTTTCCTGTATTGTGTTTTCCGTTTTTGACTGATGTTCTGTATTTTGACTTACCTGTTTTTGCCTATATATACACACATTTTTTTTTTAAAGTACACCTATTATTTTTCCTTTTCATGGTTGCTCTTGTGTAACTCTGCTTGATTATGACCTTTAATCTCCAGTCCCATTGGGCCACAACACTGCAGTTTTCTTCCTCCTGCTCTTGTGCAATGGCTCTCAAATCCACTTTCAGGGCCCAGATTCAATTTCTCAGCTAATTCATTGCCTCTAATGAACTGAAACAGGTGTGTCACAGCAGGAGTGCAGCGGGTGTCAAATGTTTTTGTGCACTGTTCCTCAGTGTGGTCAAACTTACCCAGGCGGTAATACTCAATCTCGAAGGGCAATGTTATGTTCGAGAGGTCCGTGTATCGCTCGTCCACGTAGCTTTGAGCGGCGTACGCATGCCAGAAGGCCATGAATCGCGCTATGAATGAGGTCACAAATATGGCCAGCATTCCGAAGTCCAGCAGGTTCCAAGGTTCCAGCAGATATTCTCGAGGGCCTTGAGACCAGATTTCCTTGCATTCAGCCCAGATCATTCCTGTGAGGTGGATAAACATGGCACAGAAGAAGAATGACAACAATGATTACAGCCTTTGAACATATCCAAGGTCACTGTGCAAAGAGGTTTAGAAAAAAAACACACACACACAAACAGCTGCTCATCAAAGAGAAATGTCAATTTAGACATTGGGATGAAATGCAATAAATGGAGTTTGAGATTCTCAAGACAGTGGAGGGCTGGTAAATCTAATTTACCCTCATTCAAAAATGTCTATGCTTCTTATACGGCTATAATGAAATGTAACTGCAATTTATTGCAATTGTACAAATCACACAAAGCGCACAATTCCAAGAAAAGCAATACATGAAATATTACCTATTAGATTCCTGACCTTCTCCCATCTTTGCAAATTGCTTGCACCATTAAGGGAATTGAAACATTTATGATGTAATGAATTTCTAAAATCTAAGAGCCTCTGCTGCCCTCTGTGCTTTTAGGCAAGGCTTTTCATGGAGCCTGCTGGTATAACAGATGTTAGAAGGTTTGAAGAGTTATGGCTCCTCTATGATTTGCACTGTCCTTGACCTTGAGACAGTCAAAAGTTATTTAAGTCCAACAGTGTGGGAACTGTCCTCTAGGAAAGCAGGCTGTGGCGGCAGACAGAAAGGTTACGGAGGGGTGACCCGTTGGATGATCAAGACAGGCTGGCGTCAGCTGTCTTCTGTCTCTTACATTTTAATGCTTCATTTGAATTTAAATGAAGAAAACCGTTTCATCTCACAACTTTTATGAAAAAGACAGAAATCTGTATCTCTTAAGTTGAATATGTGCTTGTATACTGTGGCTAAAATTTTTTCAATTATTTTCATTTTTAAGACACACTATAGTTGCTAAGCCACTGATATGGTATCTCAGGTGGTTGCAAAGACATTACCAAGCCTTTGTTATTGTGTCCCAGGTGGTTGCTAAGATGTTGCTTGACCATTGCTATGGTATCCACATAAACCCAAAAAGTCCACCAGAGTTTCATTCATTCCTAGACAGCTCAAGAGCATAAAATGCTCATTTTTTCCCACTGGCCGATGGCCATTTAATTTGTACAAGCATTTGTTCCACAGTATAACAGTTACATCTCAATGATTAGCCTAGCAATATATTATTTAAAGCATTTAGTAGATGCATTTAGTAGCTCAAAAGACCAATCAATAGGAGGTCTGTATATTACTTTACTCTGCTAAGTGCACTATGAAACACGAGTGTCTTAACATGTCACAGACATGACTGAGAAGTCTGAATGAGTCTGCCAAGGCTCTCTGAAGTTAGCGAAGGTAGTTGTCTGTTATCAGTGTTACCTTGACAAGCCAATATTTTTCCACATCATTTAGTGAGAAGAAAATAATATTACCTCGCATAGAAGATGATGACTGCCTCTGACTGAGTTAACCCCACAGAACTAACCGATTTCTCTTCTCTTTCACACGACCGAGGCAGTTTGTTTAATAAAAATAAAAGGTTTATAAATGTAAGTTATTCCTCTGTGTGTACAGCCTGTTGGATAGATCACTGACAACGTAATTACTCAGACTAAAACGATTCTTAACAGCATTCAGAATGTAAACACTGTTTATATGTACACTGCGCATTTGCAAACGTCTGAAATGTGAGTTTAAGCTTAATGCGTCGACTTTTTGACAGTGTCAACTATTTTCATTCTACCTGAACTTTGCAGGCAAGAAATTTGATGGAATTGCATGTTTTAGCTAAATAGCAAAATGCAAATAATGTGTTTTAGATATGTTACAAAAAATAATATATAAAAATAAAAAATTATAGACAAAGTAATACATGGGCAAAAGTGTCAGTATCAATCATAGAGGAGTTCAAGGAGACTTATTGCTTTTTATATGCTTGCAGCCATGAAGTCTCGCAGATTAGACGTGATTATGTCGAGCACTTCAGCGGACGTCACAGAACATAGGCTCAAATACGGTGAGGTCACGAGGCTGGTGTCTGGAGATTTAGATTGGGCAATTTAGAAATTATTTCTGACCTATGACCCACGAAATGATCAGCATCTCCATCCAGGTGAATGGAGTGGTCTTCATCCGGAACAGCTGGGCGGGGTGGTCGTGGACAGTCATGTTTGGAAGGAGAGTCGTCCCCTCAAAGCGGTCAGCTGCATTCATGACCAGGAGACCCAGAAAGATGGTAAACGAAGCTGCATGGGCCACAAACTTTAGGAACGGGCCACGAATGATCTTCCCTAACTGCAAAGCACACATACAGAGATAAAAATCATTCACATAGAATCACATGTTTACTGATGACTGCAGTGGTGGAAAAAGGACATAGGGAATTAAAAAAATTTCAGCATATTTAAATAGTTAAGACGCAAACAAAGTCATTCACAGAGGCTCCGCTCTACAGAAAACTGCAGAATCAGAATTGTGCAGTGAAGGTGATACCAGACAACATTTATTGCCTCTTAAAGCTCCCTCACAGAAAGTTTTTACATGAAATGGTTATGAAAATGCTGCCTGAGACATTGAGACATTGTTTGATGAGAAGCTTTTGGCATAAAACGTATATTCTATAATGTCTTCGTGGAGGAGAGATACATGCAGGCCATTAAAGTTAGTTTTTCCAGATGTATCACTATTTTATTATCAACTCAAAAGGTAGACATAGGTTCACTGGTCAGTCTGGATGTTAAATAAAATGGGTGTATGCTCCAATCACCATCACTGTAAAGAAGTCCATAAATTCCTCTACAACAAACCACTTCACATCAAAAAATTCTTTTTATATTTCATTGATTGAACTACACAGTTTTCAAAAATCAGTGGAATTCCCCTTTTAGTAAAAGTATGGGCACTGTGTTAAAATCGTACTCAATTAAATGTGGAAGTACGGATCCAAAAATGTACATAAGTGAGTCAAAAATATTTTTTCCAGTAAAAGTAATTAAGTAAAAGTACAAGTATTTCAAAAAAGTGAAGTAAAAATCTTCCAAAACAACACCTGAGTATGGTAACAAGTGACAGTTCTTAAATTATCTTCCACCCCTGGATGACTGAAATACTGAATTACTCAGTATTCAGAAGTATCTATTAAATTCACCTTAACCTTTCACTACCCCTATAATCACTCACCACACCCTTAACATTAACCCCAATTCTAAACCTAACCCTACTCCTAAACCTAACCTTAACCCTAAACCTAAATCTACTCCTAATCCTGAACATATTAATAAATTGAACATTTCTGTATAATCTGTTATGAATTATGCAAATGCTCACTAGTTAATCACACTGATATGAAATTGCTGAATATAAAACCAAGTGAATATGATAAAGATCTCTAAAGGAGAGAGCACCAAATCTATCTATACAGGCTAGACTTGATTTTCATTCAGGAAAAGTTCCGTAAGATTTACAGTTTATTCTTAAAGATTATATTTCAAGGCAGCTGCTTTAGGCCATTTCTGAATTTTCAAACATCATAATTTTAAATCAGCATAACTGGCTGAGAGTTCAGAGTGAAATACAGGGGCGTCAATCTGAACCCAGGTTGACAATCTGAGATTTTTTTCATGTAAACCTGAAAAACAAACATCAACATTTTCTAATTTCAAGCCATTTAAAACAAAGTTACAAGTAAAATGAAGAAAATACTCCAAATATTCAAGAACTATGCAAGATTCTGCACTTTTTCTAGTTCAGTATTCAAATTTCAGCAAATTTGTGACATTGACCATGATAAGGCCTTTGTACAATAAGGTCAGATTTTTTTATTCTATTCTATTCGTGTTCAGACGACCCTCAGGTAAATTAGATGTTCTCATTGGAGGCTTTGGCATGAACTTATGGAGTCCATGCCAGCTTAAGTGCCAAACTTATGAAGTCCATGCCAGCTTAAATTTTTTTTTTATTAAAAAATGTTTAAAATGGATGTTTCACTCAAATTGTTATGCTGATAATATAATTTGCCATTAAAAATTTAATAAATTATAAATTACAAAAGTGCAAAATAGAAATAGAAGCACTTTCAGTAGTGCTCTCAGACTTTTGGACCACACTGTGTGTGTGTGTGCGGTCATACGGGTCGAACAGCAGTGGCCAAAATCCCAGTACAGGAAATTCTTGTCAGAATTGTGGCTGAAAGACGAAACTGACAGACAGCGTGTTTCACGACTTGTAAATAAAAATCGCTTCCCTGTAAAGTGTTCATTTAGAAGTTGGTTGTGAAGGACCTGTGTTCACTTCTAGAAGCAATTTTTGCCGAGAAGTGAAGCAATTTTAATTCACAAGCTCCCTGGACAAAAAATTAGTCACCACCTTAAACACGCAAGGTGATCTATAAAACTAGCTCATGAAATCAGCTGTAATTTTCCCCAAAAAAATAAAATAATAAATTTCTTGTTTTTTATACTTTATTATTGTCTTATACTATTTATGTTTTTTGCATCTGTTCTAATGGTATAGCATGTTTCGACAAACAAACGCACTTACAGCCAAGAGAAATCATTTTAAATAATGTTCTTAGGTCAGGAGTGTCCAAACTTTTTTCAAAGAGGGCCAGATCGTACTGTGTCAAAATACCTGAGGGCCGAACTATTATTCACAAATGATTCAAAATATTAAGTTTTTAAAATATCAGCGCACAGAATCTGAGCTTTCTGTAAGAACCTGTGTTTCCTATCACTGTATTAAAGATGCACGAGGCTTCTTTTATTGTTCGATTGTTCATTCAGAACAGTTTGGATCGATAAGTGCTTATAATCAATAATTAAACTGTTTAAGAGTAACAATACAACGTGTCTAATGTATTAATCATATTCCTATTCATGCTTTTACTTGTTGAAAAAATATACTTTGTGAGATAAACTCACCAAAAATCTATAAATGTTTGGTTTTGTTAGGTAATGTTCTTTACATATCAAATAAATGCAGCATAGCTCTGATAAGAAGTTTTCCATCTTGCCAAAATAGTCAGTTTTCAGTGTTTAGTTTGAGCTTTATGTCTGTAGCTTTGACTAAATGTCATTCAGTAAATGAAGCTGCAGGTCTGGTCAGCCGCCACCATCAGGTGAAAGGAAGAACTGCAACGAACTGGCTGGCGGGCCACTTACAATACACTGTAAAACAGAAGCCGGAGGCCAGTTAAACTCTGTCCGTGGGCCGCATTTGGCCCTGGGGCCGGACTTTGGACACCCCTGACTTAGGTGCTTAAGACTTTTGCACAATACTGTATATCGCTATTGTCGGAAGAAAACCTAGTATCTCCATTTTGGACTTTTTCAGTTTTTGAAATTATTTGAAAATACCTGTGGTCCTCTATAAAATACCTGTGGTCCTATACAGTATGTGTAAATTTCATGACGAATGGACCAACAGAAATGACCCAAAATGGCTTGGAAAAAAGTCTGGTTCCATTGACTTACATTGAAAGTAAAGGAGGTTTTTTTCCATCTCCTGAAAAGTTAGAATTTTGGAAATATGAGGTTTTCTTCCTCGTGACTGACTCGACCCTTGTACACTCACAGCTGGAAAACGGCTGGTCTACGCTACCACAGACTGACCTTGCTTGAGGGTGCTATCCAGTACAGCAGGGCCAGGATGGGCAGTCCAACGGCCACGCCGAACACCACTAACAACTTCACGGCTGTAGTCTGTTGCCGGAGCCCTGACAGATTTTCATACCAAATGGAGAGGAGCTGCTGCTGACAGTTTGGATGGGCTACAAACTGTGTGGGAAGCATTGGAACAGACAGACCGCCATCAGAGAAAGAGTTCAGTACAATCCATGGAAAAATGGCTACACCATTGTTTGGTTTTTATTTGTCTAGTTAAACCAAATGAATGCATTCATAAAACAGCTTTCAGCCCGAAGGTACCTAAGCACAGCATCCATTAACATGATTGCTCCGCCATATATTTGCCTCACCTTTTTAAGCTCGTATTTGATGGCCAGCTTTAAGCGAATAAGACTCGGCCTGCCTGTCGAGTCAAAGTTGTCGTTTGATTCTGTGTCTCCATTCAGAATGGCTTCCACCTCTTCTGTGTTCCGACACAAGTCCAAAAGCCCAACCACGAAGTCCTTGCATTGCATAGAGAGCTTCTTATAATCATTCTGTGAATGAAAACAAAGAGCATAACATTAAAACGTTTAGACGGCATTTAGACCAACTGAACATAAGCAAGCAGTCAAACTTTTTTCATTTTAAAAATGTTTCACAATAAAGTCAATTTGTCAAAAGCCAATGCATGTTTACTGGCATCCAGTTTAATCAATTAAAAAAAAAAAAAAGGGATTATGTTGGGGATATAGTGTGCACTCTTACTCTAATGTATTATATGTGAAAACCCTTCACCCTCATTGGGGACTGTAATCAACAATGAGTGTGTAATCTTACTCATGTATTTTATGTAAAAAAACCCTTCACCCTCATTGTTGATTACAGGCCCTTACGCTGGCCCATTTATAAACTCATAATTTAGTTCAGTTAATCAGGCCTTGAGGAGCAACTGAAGAATCAGGTGAATATGTCCAAGAGCTGCAATAAAGCTGAACTAGCAGGAGAAAAACAAATTAAAAATCAGTTAATTGTACAATGGGGCTGCATACATTTAGTCATACCCTTTTGTTAATCTTGATAACAGTGGGAAATGCTTAGGGCCTTCTAGGCCTTCAAAGAAGGCCTAATCAATTCTAGGAACAAAAAAAACGTCTAATTTTTAGTTTATTTTTTAAACAAAATTATCACTCCTATTATATTTAAACTCTGAAAAAAGAGTATTACTACAAAAGTTAAGTTCTGTTTGGAAACCAAAGGGTTAAAATCTTGAATCTGCCAATCAAGATTTCTTTGCCGTGGTATCTGGGCAGATACAGCCAAGCAAGCTCCCCCATTGTTTAGGACCTCAGGAGCTGAACAGAAGGCCTTATGCATTAGATCAGAGGTCACTAATAGGCAGACCACGGTCCGAGTCCAGACCCAGACACTGTCCTATGCAGACCTGGACCTGTAACCGATAAACTATGGAGAATTATTTAATTCGGTTCTATTTTAATTGCAGTAACTTTTCTAGCCTTTATGGTAGCTTTAGTGGCCCGAGAGACTCGCAGACCAATCACATGCATTGTAAATATCACACGTGAGGCTACTTGTATCAGATCTGTGCATTACGTTAAGCACTGAGACTCGAGTGAGTGACGCACACACAGGGGAGGGACGAGGCGAGAAACAGCAGTCGGAGAAGAAAGTGAGTCAGAGGGAAGTTATTTCACACGTCGTTCTCTAAAAAGAGAAAACTGAAAATAAATATTGTTGAAATATGACTGAATTGTACTTTATTTGATTTGACATTCAGTTGTTGACTGTATAAGATGTTGATATACCTACTAGGCTACTTCAGTAAACAGTATATGGCACTGAATCATGATGCAAGTTAGACATTATGATGTTCCGGACCTTCGCTTGAGAATATTTTCTCTAACTGGACCTTATTGAATTTTAATTAAATACCCCTGTAATAGATTATTGCTGCCTTCAAGTTGTCTCGCTTTTGTCAAACAAACAGGAGGCCTCACATGAACACCCTTAAAAGTAATAAAGTTGGGAACATCAGAAATTTTTATGTGGAATGTACAGGCCAAATGATGATGTTTCGCAACTGCCAAGAAAAGAAGCAAACAGTTCACCTACGAAAAGCAATGAGATAACACTGTACAAGTGTAGAAAACTGTAAGAGTAAAATAAATTTTAAACATATTAATAAATAAATCCAATATATTAATGCTAATACATTTGAGTTCAAGAACACCTCTAAAAGAGGCCAAAAACTGTAGATGCTGGCTCAGTAATAAACCACAGCAACCACTTTGTAAGTTTTGTTCACTACCCACATAAACCACATGAACATGCGTGTTAGGTGAAGTTCCTTCCAGAGAAAACTACCACCCAATATGCACCTAAAGGCAGCAAATTTCTGCCATAATCAGAAAGTAATTGGAATCTACCATTTATAACTTAACTTACGATCGATGACCAATTTCTTGTGACGAAAAGTCACCCTAGGTCTTCTAGATATGTCACTGACTGCAAATACAAAAGGTAGTCTAGCCAGGTTTCAGTCAGTTTTAGAAATGGAAAACCGTCAGCAACTCTATACCAGAGGCTGTTACAGAAACGTCCTAATTTAAGATCCGACACGGTCAAGATAAGAAACAAATCTTAATTTAGGATTAATATCTCATCTTACAGCATCTTATCTGAAGTTAGGAAATCCTAAACTCAGTCAAGTCGATAATCTGTACGTCTCATACCAAGCAACTGGCGATACGCTCACAACTGAAACACATAATCAAAGTAATGTAAAAATGCAAGTTAAGTAGCTAAACAGCTATTCCCAAAAGGTTTAGCTGGGCTGCGAGTTTTTCTACTAAACAACAAAATATTGGACTGTGTCCTCATTATTGACCCCCACGTTGCAGTGTTTTACAGTGTATTCACCGACATTCACACACGCAGGTAAGAAGAGGGAATGGAGGGAATGTCTCCAGGTCCAGGATTTTTTGGGATGCAGATTTAGGGGGGAAAAAAGCATCACTCTCATATGTGAAACCGGCGCTTTGCAATCTGAATAAATGCAACTTTACTGTGCCAGTTAAAGTGCTGTGCTGAAACGGAAAGTTAAAACAGAAGCTGGGACACCACTGGGTTTGTGCTAAAGTTTGGACAGTATTCATTTTGTCTAGTTAAGACACTTCTGTAATACTATTTGCTGGAGTGAGGATAAAATTATGAAGTTAGGAACTAGGGGTGGGGACGGAAATCGATTCTTAGATGCATCATGATGCAGACGTGCACGATTCACAAATGTTAAAAATCGATTTTCTACATTTTAACTGATAATGTAATGTTGACGCAACGCTAAATGCAGAACTTGGGAGTGCGGACGTGCAGCGCCCAGACAGACTGCGGCACCACACAACAAAAACACAAATGGGTGAGAGAGAAATCCCTCTGCATTAAAAGCTAGAGCAGGGGTCACAACCCAAGAGTCATTTTGTCCTTTCAACAAAAATCAAACTACCTTAAGCACCACAACATTTTATACCCATTTTAAATCACCGATATTTGTCTTAAATCTCTTTGTCTTGTCGTTAGCTACTAGCTAGGCGAGATTGTTGTCCATGTTGCTGAGTGACCTGCAGTCTCTGCGCCAACCTTCAGGGTTTTAGGGTGGTGAATTAGCAGAGTTTAAGACCATTTACTGTTAAACTGTGTTGAACGATCAGCAGAGCTTTATTTTACTGCAAAGGAGGATTATTTTATTTTTACCTACTAATCTAATTCTGCAGTGGAGCCGTAACAGGGCAGTAAAACAGCCATATGTTGCCGACCCCTGAGGAAGCGTATGGAAGCACTTTGAAGGGAAAAAGAACCTGGACAAGAGTCACACTATATGCAAGTTGTGTCACACTAAACTAAAATATTTTGGAAACGCCAAATATGAGAAACCATATTACGTTTTCAACCGTTTTCCGCCCGATTATAGTTGCTGCCAACCAGAGGACCATTGAGCAAGCGATGTCAAAGCTTCCACTCAACTCGTAAAGGGCCAAGTGAACTACAAGCTCTATTGCAACTTTTATTGCCAAGGATTTGCGACTGATGAAAATGGGTAGGCTAGCTGTTTGCATCAGATCACATTGAGCATCTGAATAAAGAGTTTTAGCACTTAACAGTATGGAAGCAGAACTGTATTTATAACAAAGATTTTCACCCATTATAATTCCACAGCATGGGATGCGAATACACTGCGATTTCATGTGATAATCAGCATGGCACTTCAAATTAATAACCTTAGAGAATTCAGCATGGCAAAAAGCCTCCTACCATCTGTTTATGAAACAAACTGCACTAAAATTCTGCTGTGCATTCAGAATTGAAAGCTGCACCACCCACATTTGGTCAAAGGCTACAGACTAGCTAAATACTGGGCAAGGTTGCATACACCCACACCACTTCATGCTCTTCCCGCTGCAACAACTTCCAAACTTACCTGCACAGTTTCAAGGGCTTAACTGTTGACTGTTATCTCCACCATAGCAACAGTAACAACAGGTAACAAACCTGGTTCTATGCACATTATCAAGAACACCACTGGTCCAAACTTCTAGTAGCTATCTGTAGATGGTTCATAGCATTCCTGAAATTCCCCTAATCTGAGGATAGAATAGGTACCATTGTCTGTGTTTACATGCAGAGATTTTTGCCAATTTGATTGAACACATTCCGACTGTTTATGCTCGCTCTACTCAACAATCTGATGAAAAGCTCCATTTACATGCTCACTACAAGTAACCAGATCCAAAATAACGCACATGCATAGAGAACCACTTATTGTAGATGCGACCACGACAACCAGCGTCACGTGAGTCCAGTCAGAGTGAGATGGGCAGCAGTGAGCAGTGCTTGTGTTTTTAATCGCTTTAAAATGAAGTCAGACTCAGGAAAACGTCCGTCACATGTCCTTATTAAAGAAGGCCGAGAGGAAGACGTCGTGTTCTGAGACACATAAGCTGGACGTCCGTCCCACCGCCGTCTTTTAAAGATCAGAGCATAAACTTCGTCTCCTCTGCAGACCAGTTTCTGCTCCGCCATGTTGAACAGTATAAACTTTCACTATGACGTGACACACATGATCAGAACGGACTTAAACTTTCCGATAGGGAATGTAATCAGATTCAGGAGTTTACATGGATATTATTCTTCTATTTAACGGATTATTTACAGGATTACCCACCTCGATCAATCAGATAGAAACTGTATTCCGAATGGCCTCAATCAGACTAGACTATTCCGATCGAGGTGTTTACATGGACGTGTTCTATTCTGATTGAACTATTAGTCGGATTATTAACGGATTAGTAGGCTGCATGTAAACGTGGCTACTGTGTCATTCTTTAAGTTATTTTATAGGGACTGCTGTGGTGTCCAAGTCCAAAATAGTTTATTATAACAGTAAGCTCAATCTGATTCATATTATTCCACTAAGCAATGGGCTGCTAAGTAAATATTTGCTTTATGCTGCAGCTAACCATTACTATTTCTACTACTTCTATGTAAACTATATCTACTTCAGCACATGCACATCATTTTAACATCAGACATTATAAAAAAGGACTTTTTCCACATTCTTATTCATAAATACTGCCACTACTGCAATGTTTTCCCTGCTATGAGGATAGTCCACCATGATCCACCCCCGTGGTGCGTGTGATAAACAGAGGGAAGCGTGACTCAGCTACACTCAGTAATTGTATACCTACAAAGATGCACCTGGTAAAACAGTAAATGAGTGTAGGTACAAGATATAGGTATAAATAATAACTCAGGGATTTTGCTTCAGCCAAATTCCTTATTTTTAACTCACCCCTTAATTTCACCAAATTCTTTTAGTACTGAAACCAGATGGTATGTAAGCATCAGAACACGAGAGGACTTGTGCTACTGCTAATAACATCACAGCTGTGACTGGGTCAAGTGCTGCAGATCATCACAGTCAATGTTACTCGCATGTTCTATTACTTTTTATACAACAGCTTTGAAAAACAAAGCATAGAAGCACCAAACGCTGCATCAAGTGTGCTTTAATGTTTGCGATTCCTTCTGCCAAAGAAGTAACAGTATTTTGCATTACAGATGGGGCCATAAAAGTGTCACAGTATCAGATTAGCTCTTTTTTTTCCATATTTGCCAGATTAACCTCAATGCCATTTTGTTCCAGCCAGTCTGTAAAGCTAAAGATGTTGCCCATCTTGTTTGCTGAATTGTATTCAGTTCTGTTGTCACAGCTGCTGACTGAAAAGTTTGCTTAGGGTCAATGATAGGTTCAGAATTGGATATTTGCTGTCCCACACTTCTTCAGAATTTGACCAAATTGGCTGCAGGTCAAATATTATCTCATAAAAGTTATCTAATATGAATGTTCTGGTTTTCACAGAGTTCACTGGCTTATCTACCTAACATGAGCTAAATAACCAGCAGTTTTAATTTTATTTATGGATGTCACATTATTTCTCCCGTTACAGCTTCTTCTTTAAATCTGTACCACTTTCCTGAGTCGACTCAGTACCCAAGATTGTATAGTCCTCAAATGACTTCTTTTAGGTCCTTACCTTAAATTCTTTCTCTATATTGGCCAGCACAGCCAGCTCATTGCTTAGCTCCAGGGCAGTCAATACAGGATCTTCACTGGACAGTGACAGGTAGGCCGGGCTAGCCAGCCCTTTATAGGCATTGATGCGGGAACGGGAGTGGCTGAAGGAGTCGTGTCTCTGGTGGTAGACGCAGGTGTTGCATTTGCAGAAGTAGTCGTGGGGCCGCTCAATGCGAGCTCCCTTCCGTAGCAGGATGTGTACAATCTCATACTCGTGGCAGTGAGAGGCCAGGATGATGGGTGTAATGTCATGGGAAAAACGTGTGCCATCCTCGTCGTAGGCAAAGAAGTCATCGCTTGTTTCTGTTTGGAGGGGGCTGTTGGTTAGTTTAGAGGCATCAGCAAAGGCCTGGTGCGCCAATATGGCTTCCACTATTCGGATGTAGCCTTTGCTGATGGCCAGAAGCAGAGCATCCCCTATCCGGGCCAGGTTCTCCTTCTTCAGCAAAAGCTCTGTGACCTCCAAGTGCTCACTGGCGACTGCCAGCTGCAACGCATTCTGGCCCATGTAGTCCACACAGTTGACATTAAGCTCAGGCAGCTCCTCCAGCATCCTACGGACAACAGGGATGTTCCCATACTCGGCTGCCTCAAGAAAGCGCTCTTCGGTAAGGGACAGGCTGTTGCAACGAGCGCTGAACATATAAGCTGGTCCCCGCATGGCCAGGCGACGGCTTTTAGCCAACGCCTGCCTCTGGAAGACCCGTCTGTCAACATTGCTCCTCCTGTTAGGACAGAGAAAAAAAGCCAGTGGATCAATTGTAACAAAGGTCACAGTTCAAATCAGTCCCATTATTTAAGTCAGGGCAGTCGTCACTTTGACAGAGTAAATTAATGACTGCAATAACTGTCTGGGCTGCTAAAGTTCAACTGCCTCCAAGATGTCTCAATTTACTTGTGATAACTGTTCAGATAGTACTGACTTAAATGCAATGGCCGAAAATCAAATTTACACAATTTCTCCTTTATTCCAAACGTAGTTAATCGGCCATTCATGTTTCATGTCTAAGGTACAAGCTACTTTTGCTTCTACTCATATAAAAATGCCCATAAAGCGTTCTTTGGAACGATGCCACAGAATAACTACTTTGGTTCCCAAACAAACTGTTAAATGGATGGTATTTTAAAGCAATGATTCTCAAGCTGGCCGCCAGTTGGGTTCAAGCAAATGTATGGACATTCTGTGGGTCCCTGATGAATCTTTTCTGTAGATTAGAAAAGTTTGTTAAAGGCATATTGTAAAATTTTGTAAATGTATAAATGTTTTCACTAAAAAATCTCATGAACAATCCAAACAATTAGGAACCCTTATATTTAAAAGTAGAGTTTTACATTCATAATAAGCATAAACAACTAAACACAGTTCTTTCTGTATTATTATTTAGTGTGTCTTCCCTCTTCCCTTATTACAGCTTCCATTCTTTTCAAGAGACTTGCTTGCAATTTTTCTAAGAAATCTGCTGGGATATTTCCCTACACCTCTAAAGTTTATTAATACAATTGGTTACATTTTCTGTTTCACATGATCCAGTCCATGATGTTAAAGGCTGGACTCAGGGGTGGCCAGTCTATTATTCTAAAAACACCAGCAGCTTCTTTGTAGCTTCTACTTTTTTGTCCATTTCCTTTTCTCAGTTACAGCTTCTTGACAGCTGTGTGTCCTTTCAGACCCATAGAGTCGAGTTGTTTTCTCACAGTGGAAGGATGGACAGAAACACCTGTGGATTTTGTGAGATCTGAAAAAAGAGTGGCTTTTGATTTTCTCCAGTCTCTCAAAGATGAAGCACTGTTTATCTGATGGTGACAGTTTTGCTGGTCCACCAGGTCTTGCACAGTTGTCAGGAGTCTGGAAAGAGGCTGGATTTTAGCTCAGTAATCAGATTTCTCAGTGCATGTAAATTCTTACTCTGATTTCTTTCAGATTTCTCAGTCTGTGTATGCGCAAGAACAGACGGTGGATGTCGCGAGACACTGATGGAGAGGAGCTGAAACCAAACACAAAATGAAGGATTTAAATATTTACAGTTGTCAGGACTCCAGATTTTCTCTGTATCAGAGACCTTCAGCATTTGTTTTTTTTTTTTTTTATTATTCTTCACTTACTTTCACCTTCCTTATCGCTGTTGTCAGAACAAAACCTCATATCTCCAAAATGGTAACTTTACAGGAGAAGGAAAAAACCTACTTTTTTTTTAATGTAAGTCAATGGAACCAGACTTTTTCCAAATAATTTTGGGTCGTTTCTTTTGGTCCATTCTTCATGAAATTTACACACAATGTAAAAAACAGGCCTTTTCAGACTGTCAAAAACTGAAAAACGACAAAAATGGAGATACAAGGGTTTCTTCTGACAGCAGCGATATGCAAGGATTATTTAATGTATATCTAATGTATATTACCTCCACAATAATATCAATAATGTACCTAATGGCCGCTTTGATTATGAATTAAACAAATTAAGGGTGGTAGAGTACTTGATTTCTGAGTGAAACGTGGTAAAAGAGGGGGTTTTTGAGCTCGCTGAATGTTTTTGCTCGATGATAGGTGATAAGCTGGTTGGAGGGGGAGGTGAAACACTACATTATTTTACCCGCCCACTGAGGCACAATGACATAGCCAAACATCAGTCAACATTTTTAGCCAGTCAAAAAAGTCATTATATTTTGTTGGAAGATTACAGAGAAACCAAGAAATTTAGTATTTTAAATAATATGATGAATTGTGCTTAATATGACCAAGGATATGAACATAAACAAGGAAAAAAGGTCCATTTTGATTTCAGGTTGGCTTTAATATCAGAACTACCTGATGCTTTTAAGGCAACAGCACTAATGGACGAGAATTCATCTTTTAGCTGAATCTGGCGCATCTGCAGTAGTTTATCATTACAGACCGTTCTTATGAAACGAAAACAAAAAACTGAAGTATGTTGCCGGGAGGTATGGATCTTTTCTCAGAACTGGTTCCTTCTTGGTTCATGTCATGCACACAGAAGAGACAGCATGGTGAAGGACAGTGACTCAGTGTCCACAGATTTCAGAGGCTGTTGGCGCAGAAGGGAAACGCTCCTGCTGGTTGAGTCACTGCTAATAACCTGCCCTGTGTCCAATTATCCACGAGCATTCTGGGTCCAAATGATGCCACAAATGTTCATCCTTCCATCACTGTGTCAGAAGTGCTGCATCTCTTTTCTGTAGTATTCCCAGCGGGGGGTTTGATTTCCCAAAACCTTCCATATGCAGCATGTATATGAGAAGCTCACACACCCACCTCCAACTGGCAACAACACTGTTCGCTGAATGCTTTTATTCCTCGATAGAATGAAGGATCTATTCAATTCAAATCTGATGCAAGATATAATTTTCATTCAACTTTAACTATGCCTGAAGGACATGTTGAGGCAGGCATAAAAGCACAGAACACAAACATAAAAAGAAATAATCTAGAAACCATAAAAATAAAAATATTCGTACGTGTTATTTACACCAAAGGACGCTGAATCGAAGTGCCTGTGAGACTGAATCATTTATGAATGGAAAAATGATTCTGTGAATCGTTTAAGCCACTAAAAAAATACAGTACATGCTTGCGTCAAAAACAGAATAGCTGAAGGACATGTGGCCAAACACTGGAATGACCTTATTTAGATTGACAGAAGGAGGTGTTACTACTGCTTCTGTCAGTCCTGCAGTCATGAAGCTGATTGATTGGTCCTCCTACTCAAATGCTGTCCTTGTTGATGAAAAGCATTCCTGACAACTGCTCCAAACACCAACCACAGTTAAGGCACATTATGAGGTTGTTTACATTTATACATTACATTGTCATACGTTTCACTTCTGTATTATAACTTCCATTTACATTTTTCTCTAAAATGCATCCTTGCTGTGACCAGATTTTCCTATTTTATTTTCTACCATAAAAGCATATCAACACATATGTTGTTTGAGCTCGAGTTCTGTTTACTTTTCACCCGTTCCTTTATGAACTGACTGGCTTGGCTAGACGCTCAGTGCTACCATTAGCATTGTGCAAACTGCTTGCCCCAATCATCACACATGCTTCACACTGCATCGAGGTGTTACGTAATCTTAAACAGATGTGCTTATGTGGTTTCTGACTTCGAGTGCGTATACATGCACTCAATAATCTGATCATAATCGGATTTCTGCAGTTATCCAATTATTCAAATAGTCATGTAAACACCATACTTCGATCTAGAGATCCGATTAAGAAATCCGATAAAGAGAGCTGGATTTTAGCTCAGTAATCAGATTTCTCAGTGCATGTAAACTCTTACTCGGATTTCTCAGTCCGCGCATGCGCGAGAACAGACGGTGCATGTCGCGAGAAACTGATGGAGCGGCACTGAACCCAAACATAAAACGAAGGATTTAAATATTCTTTAATATTTAGTATGTTCATATTTTCAGGTAAAGTGGCGTGATGTTTAAAAAAAGCCAAGGTGTGAAGTTTGAGTTTTACGTTACATTTACATCGCGCCTTCTTCTGTGAGTTTATTGGCTGGTTGCAAAGCAAAAATCGGATTACTGTCTGACTCCAGTAGAATAATAATGTTATCTATAAAAAGGTACAAAAGTATGGACATAATTCAGGCTTATGCTTTAACCAAGTAGCTATTTTGCCATTTTTAAATGTCACTCAGTGCCAGAAACCACATAAGCAAGTTAAAGCAAACTTAAAGCTCCAAACCTGTTTTGGCTGGGTGAGGGGAAAAGCATTTAAATATATTTTTCCCAAATGTCTTGGTTACAGTGTATTGACTGCAGAAGTGAGATATCAGCTTCAGCGGTAAAATGAAATGGAATAGATACAACAGACCCTCTGATGTCATGCGTCATTCTGTATTCATGCCTATAAATAGGAACTGAGAATTTAAGTACACTGCAAAAAATAGTATCTTGTCAAATGAAATCATCTTAATTCTAGTTGATCTAATACTTCTTATTCTGAGTTGGTTGTGCACTTATTATAAGATTCTCTAGCTCATTTCTAGACATTTTTTACCTGTTTTAAGTAATTTTATCAAGTAAAACGATCTCACTATACTGGCAGATAATTTCAGGCACATTTCTTAAAGCAAGCAAAATAATCTGCCAATATAGAGAGATAGATTTAAATCTAATTAAAATCACTTAAAACAAGTAAAAAAAATTTAATAAAGTTAAAATAATCTTTAACTAAGCCTACAACAGTCTTAACACGAGAAATATTAGATTTACTGACTAGATTGAAGATCATTTTACTTGACAAGATGCCATTTTTTTGCGGTATAAATTTGTCAGTGGGAAAGATGAATTACCTTTTAGAAAATCAGATGCATTTTGTCATACATATGATTTTTTCCCTAGAATGTGCCTGGATCATCTGAATTAGGAGGTTGTTTAGCAATTACAGTACAAATAATGCTACATACATGCTACAAGCAAGCTACCACTCCTGCACACTGAAATAAAGCTGGACAAAAGTAGGTCTACTATTAAAGACTATCATATAACTCCACCCACTCAAACTGTAGGCTACTACTGCCAAAGCAACTTACCACATTTGGCAAAGCTTGCTGGTTTCTGTGGGGTATTTTGGTGAAGCTGCCAGTCATCTGATGTCAGTTCAGAGTGCAGTAGTTTTAGGAATTTCACAATTCACAGGATCGAGCAACATTCGGAGGAAAAAGTTCACTAAGGCAAACCGTGTGGGGTTTGGAACGTTTGTTTTCCACGAGCCACAACAGCAGCAGTCATTTTCCTCATAAAAGATCGGCTCAGATCGCGAGTTCTTAACACAGGCATGATGGCGACTACAGAAACACGGCCTCTCACGTCTACAGACTGAAACTTTAAAACAAGTCAGTGTAGCGGCACTACAACAAACAGAAAATGACATGGGGTGCTGAATGAGGTGAGGTTGATGGCTACCACATCTCACTGAGCATGAAGCAAATAAACAAGCTAAGCGATGGTGAGAGTGCTTTTCACCAGAACTGCAGAAGACAGAAACCATGGCTATATAATGACAGTTGGCACATACTGGGCAGGCCTGGCTGAAGTGAGCGCCTAATTGGGAAAAACAGAGCTTGGGAAGCTCAGTCAGCTCTGAGACGAAGAAATGAGAGAACAGAAAAACAAAAAAACAACATACCTCCTTGTCATCATGCTGCCTTTTGAGAACATAGTTCACAAACCTTAACATAGTTTGGGATGGGTAGGAAAAGAGATGCTATCCCTACAGATGACGAGGCCTGTGGTGCATTTGTTTCCCTCTATTTCCCTTTTACGGTCCTTGGAAATCCCATATACGTTTGCACTCTGAACACCCATGTGTCAAACACAAGGCCCGCTGGCCAGATCAGGCCCACGACACAAACCTATCTGGCCCCCGCAAAAGTATTTTAATTTTCTATTATTATTAGCACGTTTTACAATAAGCTGCACTACAGTCCCCAGCATGCACTGCAACGTAATGTGCGCTCTGACTCTCCTACCCCAACAACAGTCTATGGGACAGTGGTTACACCTCAGTCCTACACAGTTCTACACCAGTCACATCACTAAATGCACTGCATTTCAGCTGCAGTTCGACCAGCATATCACTGCTGTTGGAACAAAACCTCGTATCTCCATTTTTGCCGTTTTTCAGTTTTTGATGTAATTTCAAAATAAAATAAAATTTCATGATGAATGGACCAAAAGAAATGGATCAAACTGACTTGGCAAAAATTCTGGTTCCACTGACTTACATTAAAAGTAAAGTAGGTTTTTTACTTCTCCTGTAAAGTTACCATTTTGGAGATACAAGGTTTTCTTCCGACAAAGGCGATAAACACCTAACGTCAGCTCAGCTGCTCAGAAATTGAGCCCAAGTATTTATAAACTTGCAGCAAAGAAAAGATGTCAGGTGTCTAATTCAAGCAGATAGGTAGGTTTAAAAGACTGAGCTCCTGTGGATGTTTAAATATTGAATATTTCAAATATTCATGTAATATTTCAAGGTCTATTATAAGTGTCTGTGTTTTACTATTGAAGTTTGAGCGTATTTTGCATGAACAATGGCCAGTTTAGGTTATAACAACATTAAATAAAAATGAAATAAGACCATTTCTTTTCTCTGGCCCACAGATTTCTTGAGAGATTTTAATATGGCCTGTTTAGCGGTTGAGTTTGACACCCCTGTCTTAACATAACAAATCCAGGCAGTGCATGAAAGCACATCATAAAAAATCTACCACATCCTCGTAAAAAAAGGAAAGGTCACTGGTGGTCTATTCACACACACATACACACGCACTTCCCTGCTAAAGATGCTACATTTCATGCTATTGATTCCCTCGCGGACAGCTAACGAAGCAATAAGGTTTAGGTCCACGTCTACAAATTGGTTTTCATTTCTGTGGCAATAAATGTCAGCTTTATTTCGTGTTGCCACTGTTACTTAGATGTGTGACTTTTCCAACCCTAAAATTGAACAATTCATGCTGAATATCTGCTGTGCAGCGTCTTATGTAAGCGGAGTAAATAATACATTCTGTAAAGATGCTACATTTTTTTCGATTTTTGACTTTTGCTCAGTATTCTTGATGCAATTATTAAGAATTCTAAATCATTAGAAGAGACTTAGCACATTTAATTGATTAAGGGCCAGTTTTTTCAGACACTAATTAAGCCCCTACTGGATCTTAGCAGCCTAGTAAATAAAATAAATAAAATAAAAATAAATAAATAAAAATAAAAAACCACTGTAAAACACATTACACTTTAGTTCAAAACTAGGCTTAATCCATGTCCATGAAACTGGCCCATAGTTTATTACATAAAACGACTAATTTTATATGTTAAATTTAGTCTGGACATAGAATAATCTACATCTCTGATTAAACAAAGATATAATTCAAGAAGGTAATTGTAAAAAGTGCATATATGATTGTGGAAAAGGCAGGTGTGGTCTGGCCCACTGCGTGAAGATGTACACAAAGATTGCAGACAATGATCTATCTATTATTTATTTAACCAGAATCAAAATGGAGTTTTTATTCTGAACTAGCTTTTGACACATATTGACTGTAAAGAAGAAATATTAGTATTAGTAATATTTTCCATGTTCAGTAAATGAGTGTGTCATCCTCAGGGCCACATCTGGGGTGGGGACCAAGGTGAGCACTCAGCTGTAACTGCGTGCCATATATAAGCCAGATCTGACCCACACCTTTTAAATATGCCCACTTTACAGCGTTTGGGCCAAATCTGGACCACAACCGTTAATCCTACTCATTTTACATATATGGGGCAGATCTAGACCACAGCAGCTAGTCCTACTCACTTTACAGTATATAGGCCAGAGCTAGGCCACATCCGTTAGTTGTATTTACACATCCATTAGGTCTACTCACTTCACAGTATAAGGGCCAGATCTGGACCACATCTGTTAGGTCTACTTACTTCACAGTATATGGGCCAGATCTGGACCACATCCATTAGGTCTACTCACTTCACAGTATATGGGCCAGATCTGGACCACATCCATTAGGTCTACCCACTTCACAGTATATGGGCCAGATCTGGACCACATCCGTTAGGTCTACTCACTTCACAGTATATGGGCCAGATCTGGACCACATCCATTAGGTCAACTCACTTCACAGTATATGGGCCAGATCTGGACCACATCTGTTCGGTCTACTCACTTCACAGTATATGGGCCAGATCTGGACCACATCCATTAGGTCTACTCACTTCACAGTATATGGGCCAGTTGACCATCCATTAAGTCTACTCACTTCACAGTATATGGGCCAGATCTGGACCACATCTGTTTGGTCTACTCACTTCACAGTATATGGGCCAGATCTGGACCACATCCATTAGGTCTACTCACTTCACAGTATATGGGCCAGATCTGGACCACATCTGTTTGGTCTACTCACTTCACAGTATTTGGGCCAGATCTGGACCACATCCATTAGGTCTATTCATTAACAGTGCGTGGGCCAGATCTGGGCCGAGGACCCAGCCATTTATAGCCATATATAGCCAGAACAAACCCAAGGATGTGGCCCACACATAGGCCAGACAACTGGGTTTACACAAGACAGCCGTGTAAATGAGCAGCAACATCTCCATCTGGCCTTTTCACTAATGACCATTCTTCATTAGTGTAAATCTCTACAATGAGTACAGAAAGAGCCACAATAAACAAATATAAGCCCAATATGGCAACAGATTGGCCTCATCATACTCTTCGGTTTTAAAAAGCATTGATTCAGAAGACGAAAGCCTTGTGCGTATTCTCGATTAAATTCATCCTTATTAAGATGACCAGGCACTGTTGAAGGGACTAGCATTCCTGAATGCTTTGACCCACTATGGACTGTATGTACTGATTATTTTAACAAGTTACAGTCGGTTCTCTGACAGTTGGGAGCCGCTGTGTTCCTTAAATGTAGTTTATTGCTCTCAGAAAAACAGACTCATGTCTATTAGTGTGAGGGGGGTGAGGGGGGTGAGGGGCTGAGCTCTCCACAACAGCCACGATGGATGGACACAATGAGGCTGAAGTTGGCTTCCTATTCGCCAGCTTTGTTTTCCGAATTTCCCCGTTCTACCTTAAATGGTGCAGCAGTTACATTCTGGCGCCTCAGTTCCAATGTAACTGCCGCACCATTTAAGGTGGAACGGGACAATTCGAACAAGAAGCTGGGGAGTACGGAGCTGACTTCTACAGATTCGTATGGACAGACGTGTGACATCAAATACAGGACACGGTTTTAATGATATCATTAATTGTGGCCAAAAATAGCCGTTATTATGAATCCTCCCATATCTAACTAGACTAGACTGAGGAAATAATACTCAGTGAGGGAAAATAACTTACCTCAGGTAGTACCCTTGGTAAACTGAGTTTCCCTCCTCACATTCGGTGTTCATTGGTTGGTGGTCTTCATTCACGCTGCTTGTTCGGGCAGAAGTTTCTGAGGGGACGTGGTCAGTGCAGACCTGTCTCCTCATGACTTGGAGATCACCTTCAGTTAGAGCTCATCCAGCCGCGTTACTGTTTCCTCCACCCGCATTCGGACAAATCCCGCCTCCTGCGCGAGGACCGGCAGCTCCTGTGTCAGGACTGGCTGGGAGTTCATATTGACACGCTGTCCACCAATCGTGAGCCTGACATGCCGGCCAATCATAGCACAGGAGGCGGGATTTTCCGGAAAACGGGTGGGAAAATTAACGCACAGCGTAAATACGAATACAGCCGTCCAGGTGCGCACGTGTAAGCGATTGAAAGATTTTTCCCTTTCTTTCTCATTTTTATATGAAGACTCGCAGCAAATAAGAACAATTTCTTTGCTTGCTGATCAAATTTACTCTGGTTTACTCTGGTTACTGGCTCTGGGCGGCTGACAGACCAAACTGCAGTGAACTCATCCCTAATTGTTTTGATGAGGAAGGACTGGGAAACAATCATGTGTAAAAGCTTTTGACAGGGACAGATTACAGGGGATTTTTCAAAATTTCTGCAATACCCAATCAGCTAGTGAAATTTGAGTCAGAATTGCTCACAGTGTTGATGAGAGGAACCAGACGTCTTAAGTGTTCAATGCCTCTGAAAGCTACTTGACACAAAGTTCAATAAAATGGTTTTATATATTCGCTGCTGTCGGAGCAAAACCTCGTATTTCCAAAATGGTAACTTTACAGGAGAAGCAAAAAACATACTTTGTTTTTAATGTAAGTCAATGGAACCAGATTTTTTTTCCAAGTCCTTTTGGGCCGTTTCTTTTGGTCCATTCATCATGAAATTCACACACAGTGTAAAGAGCAACAGGTATTTTCAAATTATGTCAAAAACTGAAAAACAACAAAAATGGATATACAAGGTTTTGTTCCGACAGCAGCGATATGCTGCCTGATGCCTGACATGTTATTTATGGTAATTTTAAGATAAGGCTGTGGCCTAAAACATAAGGTATTTTTAAAATAATGCATGGAGTTGTAGTGTAAAATATCTCTCAAGAAAGTTTATTTTTTCTAGTTTACCACTGTTTCACTGTTGGCAGCGGGTGCCCCCAGTCCTCTCTCGGGGCCGTGTCTATGACACAGCGGCTCCATGGCGTACCCTGCTCCAGGTATGCCGTCCTGCTCTGGTCCTGTCGGGCAGTCGAACACCAGCTTTGCAATTGTCCTCTTCATCGGTGCACCAGAGCAGAGAGACCGAGCTCCGCACCCTCCTCTTGGATGCAGTGGAACACTTCCCAGCTCGCAGCATCAAGTCCAGTGCTACCAGGGTGCTCTCCATCGTCCACTGCGTCGTCAATGCCAGCAAAGGTCCTACTCATGTGTGCCGCCTATCTCCTTGGGGATCTATCCACCAGTGCTAGTGCTGCATGTTCAGTTCCTCCAGCATTGGCAGCTTCACCCATGAAAACCATGGTGCCCCTGACCTAACAACATGCCCTGCCCACAGTGATCCACCACCCGGCTCTGACATGGCATGGTCAGCTCATTCCGAGCCGGCGGCTCCCCACGTAGGGAACAAATACCACACTGCCACGGTGCGTCAACACTCTGCTTCGGCTCCGCCGCTAGCCGCCATGACCAGCTTCACTTGTCCTGTATAAGGTGAGCTGTTTCCCATCTATGCCGCACTCAACCCAAAGTCTGCGGCAGCAGCTGATCTTCCCGACTGGCTTCTGTTTCCCTGCCAGCTTAGGTTTGTGGCATTGACTGACCCCTCTTCCTGCATCAGAAGCATACCAGTTGCTCCAACGCCACTTGCTTGGAGGCCACTCGGCATTCTGTCTCTCCCTTGACCTCCTCTGCTGCGCAGTGCTGTGTTGCTCACCGTGGCATTTGTACCCCAAGAATAAATTCAGTCCTCTCTACCTCGGTGGTGGCTTGAAGGCTCACCGGTGCAGTGAGCTGCATGTGCCATCCTAGCTCCTCTGGCAGTAGCGCATTCAGGAAGTGCCAACTCCTCCTGCACTGCCTTTTCGAATGCCGGGTATGCCTGTTGAACTGTTGTGCTCAGCTCCACTGCTAGCACACTTATTCGTTCTCCCTTTGGCGTCTGCCTCTCCAGGAGCAAAGTGTTGCTGGAGGGTCACGGTCAGCGCCGCTCATTCCGGTGGCAGATCCACAGGCACCTGTAGTGCTTTCCCCTCCAGTGGCAAATACAGCTGCGCTGCGGTGATCCAGCCATGATGCATGATAATTGCCTAATCACTCAGTGTATGCTGGGTGACCACTTGCAGCTGTGCAGAGTATGGCTCCCAGGCACCTTTGTCAGCAAAGCATACTAAGCGGATCCAGCTCCCCCTCCCCAGGCTCCAGCTTGCTGTGCTGTTTCCTTCACCGTCTTCCTGAGCCAGCTGTCTTGCTCTCGGCTGGCTGAACCCATTCGGAGGTGGCAGGCATAGCGCTCGGTAACCCCTTCCACCAGGCTTCTTCGCCATCTGCTTTTGAGTTTGTTGATGCGCCACTCCACTTCTCGATGTCCCACTTCCAACACCACTGTGGTGTCAGCATAGAAGAAGACCCAAAAACCATAGCACGTAAAGGCATTAACACTAGCAGCAGCGGGGCCTGTGGTGGACGCCACAGTATGTTCACTGGTTATTTTAGATAGCAAATAAAATGGCAATGTCTGCGTTGTAAACAATATGACTCCTGGTTCGTTTGCCACTATTGTAAAAAAAATCTGAATTCTCTACACCACACTTCACATCAAACCACCCTCAGTGAATGAATTCTGCAGGAAATTTAAGAATTTGTGGAATTCCCAATAAAAAATCCAAGTACTTTCAGCATGAACTTTTGCAGGTCTCTTCCAACCACACACATGTACACATACCTCACCTGCCTGCATTTTACATTACATTTTAACACTGATTTTACACAAACAGTAACAGAAACGAAACGGTCTTCAATCATGTGGAGCTTTGTGACATTTGTAGTGACTGTTCAGGCCGAATAAGGTTTTTATTTTTTAATTAATATTTTCAGAGACGTTACAGAGTAGTTAGGAAACACAGACACTGCACTATACATGCAAAAATAGTTACATTTAAAGGATTAACATAAAGGTAGCACTGAGCTTTAACTACACGTGTCCAAGTGATTTAATCAAATACTATGAAATAGAAAAAACTGTTTGGGGAATCCTGACTGTTTTTAGACCAAAGTGCCTCATGGAACTCACTCACATTCAGCAGACTACAAATTCTCCACAAGGAGGCACCATTCCCTGTTGTGTTTTGGATGCTGGTATGTTGGTCAGCAGCAATAAAAACTGATCACCAGCAAAACCAGCATATGTTGTGTTTTGGATGCTGGTTTGACCGTGCTGGGTGACCAGCTAAACCAGCACCAGACCAGCATAAACCATGAATTGCAAGGAATTCTTTTTTTTTTTCAGGTGCAGTCAAATAAAAAAATATCCTTGCATTTCTAGCTATTAGCATTTTAATATTTTTATTTTGCACAATAGTAAAAGGCGACTTTGTAATTTGGCATATAAATGTATTTTTGCAATTAGCTTAAAGCACAGGTTAGGTAGATTTCTGTTTACACAGCAAAAAAAAAAGCCTGTACTTGTGGCACATCCACTCAGAGGCACAGTGTTTTAATAATAATTTACCGCTAGTCATCTAGTCATCATGATATCCAACAGCTTTATCGGATATTGCATTTTATGTCCATATCATGCAGTCTTACTGGAACCCACTATGCCTGCAGTGGAGTCTCTGGCTCTGGCATCACACAGTGACCCAGTGGCTATGGCATTTCTTCCTAAGAGTTTATCCCCTCAATAAGTACATTGTGTTTACAAAAAGTAAAGTGTGTTAAATCGGCTTCCATGGAACTGACTTGGCTTTGGATTTGATTGGTATTCATCCTCCACTGCGCCAATGCTAGTTATGAATTTAACTGCGGTTCTGTGAGTTCGGAATGACTGCCAGACTTATCCAGCACGGACTCTGTGTGGACGTCTGGACATCCATGTCAGCCTGGTTTCTGTATTACTGGTCATGTTCCACCTGTTGTAACTGCATGATTTTGCAGGTAGAAGCTCAACCTGCAATCAGAACCAACAGGCTCAGATCATGAATTTATGGGCCACTGAGCACAAATGTTTGGGGGACCCTACCTGGCTCTTGTTTTTGGTGGTCAGGCAATTTATGATATCACAGTAAGTTACAGGAGGCAGCACCACAATGGCAGCATACTAACCGCAGTCACCACTATAAATGGATAGACATGTATTTTTTTTATGCAAGCATTTGGTTCTGATTATCTGGGGTTATCTAAAAATCAATCCACCTTTGCCACAAATCTGTGATGGCACTGTCACAGGATGCCACCTTTGCCCTGCTAGATCTGCCCTGATTAAATGTAAGTGCTAATATTGTGAAGTGGAAGCATCTAGGAGTAACAACAGCTCAGCCATGAAGATGTAGACTATGCCAAGTCCTGAAGCATGTAGAGCTATAGGCCCCTTGGTTCCCCTGAAGGGTAATGTTAATGGCCTCACTTTTTGGTGTGGAGGAACTCTAGTGGCCAGCACTGAACCCTGAACGCAACCCCACTGATCACCTCTGAGATTAATTGGAATATTGATTGGAACGCTGATTGCAAGCCTGCATGGTTGTAACTGCAGTAACGGTGACAAGATCTCTGTCAGTCAGACTGCTTGCCTACCAACATGGCGATGTCATTGAATACTATGAATTGGACAGAGCTATTCAGGGAATCCTGACTGCTGACCTCACAAATGCTCTTTTGACTGCATGGACACAAAATCCCACAGACACACTCCAAAATCTTGTGGAAAGCCTTCATAGAAGAGTAGAAGCTGTTATAGCCACAAAGGGGGGACCAACTCCATATTAATGCCCATGGTTTTGGAATGGAATATCCAGCAACCTCATACAGGTGTTATGATCAGGCGTCCACATACTTTTGACCATATAGTGTATATCTGTTAATGTCTGGGTTTGTTGAGGGTCAGATTTGTGGCCAAATAACCTGTACTACTGTTGCAAGAACTATGCATGATAAATGTTTAACTCTAATTGTTATGTAAAAGAGAAATGTGCATCCTGTGGATATTTAGAGGGGTTACACACAATCTTCTCCTATATGGTGAGTGAAACTAATGGGTAATGGGTGTAGATGCAAGGAGATGGTTTTAATGTTATGGCTGATCGGTGTAAGCTGCTACATTCATTCAAATAAAAAAAATAAACATGTTATGTATAAGCTCCAAGCTATCAGTATAAGCTAAGTATATCGCTGTTGTCAGAAGAAAACATTGTATCTCCAAAAGGGTAACTTTACAGGAGAAGAAAAAAACCTACCTTACTTTTAATGTAAGTAAGTGGAACCAGAGTTTTTTCCAAGTAACCTTTGGCCATTTCTGTTGGTCCAATCATCATGAAATTTACATACAATGTAAAGGACAACAGGCATTTTCAAATTATGTCAAAAACTGAAAAACAAGGTTTTCTTCCGACAACAGCGATAAGATCTTATGTATAGGCTATACATACTGGAAATGTTCTCCAACACTAACAAATACTGCTGGTAAATTATTTTGACATTACTCTTGGCAAGAGCACCAGTGATGGCATTGGTGTCAAGCGTGTAGCTGCTAGGGAAAGCGTACAGAGCCCAGAGGGTCCTCAACTTTTGTTGGCTGTCCAGCTTTTCAACTGGTGTGACACCAACATGTAGAACACAAAATTCTTCTGTGTAAAGGCCACGAGAAAGCAGCTACAGTCATTCTACGAGGCAGCCAAGACCATCCATGGCACTAGGGACAACAACCACTTTGCATTGACAACACTGTGAGGCAAAGCAGGGTGGTGGGTGATGACACATGCTTCACAGTGTATACAGATCAAGCCCAAGCCCAATAGCAGGATGTCCATTTAGGGCAGTACATTGCTTGTGTGTATGATAGCAGCTGGTGGGTTGGCTACACATTGGAGAAGTCTCAGCAGCAGGAGGATGTGAAGGTTAAGTTTATGGACCCAAGTGGATGAGCAGATTCCTTCAAGTGGCCTGAATCTGAGCACACCTGCTGGGTACCTTTCATTCATATTTTGTGTGCCATACAAGCTCCAGCCACTTCCAGGAGAGGATCAGACAATACGAGCACAGATATTGGACTAGTGTTTGAGAATGTCCTTGCAAACAAACAGTGAATAAGAGAATTATGAGCAGTTCTCATAAACACTCCCTGTGCCACAAACCTAGAGTATTAGATATAAATGTTTGAGAACGTTTATATATTAAAACCATCTCCTTGTTTCTACACTCACTGTCTATTTTATCAGCTTCACTTACTATATAGGTGCACTTTGTAGTTCTACAGTTACAGACTGTAGTCCATCTGTTTCTCTGCATACTTTGTTAGCCCCCTTTTACCCTGTTCTTCAGTGGTCAGGACCCCCACAGGACCCTCACAGAGCAGGTATTATTTGAGTGGTGGATCATTCTCAGCAGTTTTAGTGTGTGTTGCTCTGGTCTGAGTGGATCAAACACAGCAGTGCTGCTGGAGTTTTTAAACACTGTGTCCACTCACTGTCCACTCTATTAGACACTCCTACTTTGTTGGTCCACCTTGTAGATGTAAAGTCAGAGACGATAGCTCATCTGCTGCTGCACAGTTTGTGTTGGTCATCCTCTAGTCCTTCATCAGTGGTCACAGGACGCTGCCCACAGGACGCTGTTGGCTGGATATTTTTGTTGGTGGACTATTCTCAGTCCAGCAGTGACACTGAGGTGTTTAAAAACTCCAGCAGCACTGCTGTGTCTGATCCACTCAGACCAGCGCAACACACACTAACACATCACCACCATGTCAGTGTCACTGCAGTGCTGAGAATGATCCATCACCCAAATAGTAACTGCTCTGTGAGTGTCCATGGGGGTCCTGACCACTGAAGAACATGGTAAAAGGGGGCTAACAAAGTATGCAGAGAAACAGATGGACTACAGTCTGTAATTGTAGAACTACAAAGTAAACTATATGGTCAGTGGAGCTGATGAAATGGACAATGAGTGTAGGTAAACAAGGAAGTGGTTTTAATATTATGGCTTATCAGTGATTATGAATGCGTTTATCTAATATATTTGTCCAATAATACTCATATTGTACATTGCTACATGTTCTTTCATTCAGAACTCAGTGTATACATTTTCAAAGGGCAACTGGCTACATCAGAGTCAGTGGTGTTGACAGGAACCGAACATCCGGAGCATTTAATGATGCTAAAAGCTACCTTACAAAGTCATAGCATGACAAATACACTGCCTGATGCCTGAGATATTGTTTTTGTGATAAGATTTTTTGTTCATTTTACCATTATCATCACATAAAAACTCAGGAGATTCACTGGTGGTTTTGGATAGTAAATAAAATGCCTATATATATACATATATATATACATACATATATATGTGTATATATATATATATATATATATATATATATATATATATATATATATATATATATATATATGTATATATGTGTTTGGAAATGGTTAAAGAAGCTCACTGATAAAAGATAAATCACTAGTATATTAATGTTGTTTGTATTAATTCTAATAACATTATTTTTATCTGAGAAATTAGTTTTTAAAAAAGATGCCTAAAACTTGGCAGAGTACAGTATACATTACATGTAAAATAAATATATCAAAACAGTATGCTAACTAAATAAGCACATCAACGTAAGTGTCGGGATATAAAATAAATACATAAACAGAAAAAAAGAAAGAAAAATACACACTAATCCAGTCTGGGCTCATTAATCAAATCCTTTTACGGCCTAATTCAGAATAAAGGCTGTCCAGCTCTCTACTCGCTGATCGTGTCACACACACATCATGCAGCAGTAATTTAATAATAAACTGGAAAATTACGGAGCCCCTAAGGGGCCGTGGTAGTTAATGAGTTCCCTCGCAAATGTTTTGCGTTCCCTTGCAAATAAAATTCGTTCCCTTGCAAATGTTTTGCATTATGATGCAGCGGTTTGCATTCGCTTGCAAAACCTGTGCTTTGCTTAAGTTCAGACATGAAGCAGCTTGTTGAATTTTACGTTGATCTTGGATTGAAATATAAGAACATAATGTAGCTTCTCAGAATCAACCATGATTCTGTTATTAGTGACTCAAACTGAGACTGAAGTCGAGGGTCCTCGTACAGTAAAAGCTACAGAGAACAACAGCTGAATAAACTCAGCACAGACTGGCCAAACTGGGAAAACAGCTTTTAACCTTAAATATACTAAAAACAAAGCTCTGATGTAGGCAGTGTCGTTGGGCACCTCTGGTCCTACGTTTGCTTGCTGTCTGACGAGCATATATTTTGCGAAGGAACGCATATTTCTGTACGGAGCACCGCTGGTGACACCTGTATAAATAAAAATAATGCGTGGCCACGACTTAGTAAGGCGTGCGAATGAGATCCTAATGCGTGGCCTCGTTCCCACGCATTACTAAGTCATGGCCACGACTTAATCATCTCATTCCCATGCCTTACTAAGTTCTGGCCACGCATTATTTTTTATTTACACAGGATGTCACCAGCGGGGCTCCGTATTTTCAGTACCGTAGAAAATCGACGAATCTGCTGATCTGTAAGAAAAAAAGCCCGTGTCGTTCACTGTGCCTCTTCGTCTCTTTCCGCAGCCGGAGATTTGGGCGGATGCCGCCTTTTGACGCTGACCTGCGATCAGTCCGGCGCTCCTCCTTCGGCGTTTAATGGTCCGGTTTGGTTCGGGGCCGCTGATCCCGGATCAGCTGCGGGGGAGGTGGCCGCGCTACAGAAGTCGGCCATTTTGTGCATGCCCTTTTACGCCATGGCGGAGATGGATGACGGAGACGAGCCGGGCTCGGTCCATACGCAGGGCGGCTCGTCGGGGTCCAAGTCGGGGGCAGACAAGATGTTCTCTCTGAAGAAGTGGAACGCTGTGGCCATGTGGAGCTGGGACGTCGAATGTGACACTTGCGCCATTTGCAGGGTCCAAGTAATGGGTAGGTACCGCTCTTTAGCCGGTTAGCTGCGTGGCTAACCAGCTAACGCGCCTAATACCACTAGTTAGCCTGCTGACCACACAGCCGCTTACTTAGGGAGCGTTAGCCGCGGAGGCCGGCTGGCTCCCGTCTAGCTGGCCAGCGTAGCTGTTCGCATAGCTGACGAGCTGGCTGCTATTTCTGGCAGGACTGTGTTTCAGAGAAGATATTGTCTTACCGAAATGACTGACCGAGCTGACCACAGTACTGGCTATTACTGCAGCTCTGAAGTTAGTAGAGCTAGTGCAGCCGTGAGAGCCTGTTAGCTAACCTACGTCTCCTACACACATAGCGAAAAAGATGGGTCTTCAACACGGAGCCCCTAAATACGGAGCCCCTCAGGGGCCGTGGATAAAAACAAAACAAAAAGTTAATGACATTGCGTTGCCTCGCCAAATATATGCTTGTCGGACAGCAAGCAAACGTGGGACCAGAGGTGCCCAACGACATCACCTACATCAGAGCTTTGTTTTTAGTATATTTAACGTTAAACGCTGGTTTCCCAGTTTGGCCAGTCTGTGCTGAGTTTATTCAGCTGTTGTTCTCTGCAGTGTCTGTAAATGTAGCTTTTACTGTATGAGGACCCTCGACCTCAGTCTTTACGCTCACTGATAGCAGAATCATGTTTGATTCTGAGAAGCTACACTGTGTTTTTATATTTCAATCCAAGATCAACGTAAAATTCAACGAGCTGCTTCATGTCTGAGCTTAAGCAAAGCACAGCTTTTGCAAGCGAATGCAAAACATTTGCGAGGGAGCGCAAAAGTCAAGTTTATTTCTTTAGCGCCTTTTACAACAGATGTTGTCACAAAGCAGCTTTACAGAGAATCCGGGTCCGGTCCCCAGTGAGCAAGCCTTGGCGACAGTGGCAAGGAAAAAACTCCCTCAACAGGAGGAAGAAACCTTGAGAGGAACCAGACTCAAAAGGGGAACCCATCCTCCTCTGGTCGACACCGGATAACAGACACAAAACATTTGCGAGGGAATGTATTTTATTTGCAGGGGAACGCAAAACATTTGCGAGGGAATGTATTTTATTTGCAAGGGAACGCAAAACATTTGCGAGGGAATGTATTTTATTTGCAAGGGAACGCAAAACATTTGCGAGGGAATGCAATGTCATTAACTTTTTTTTTTTAATTTATTTATTTATTTATTTATTTATTTATTAAACCACAGCCCCTTAGGGGCTCCATTCTTCAAGGGTTCTTTATAAAGGTAATTGTTCTACATAGAACAATTTTGTGCATAAATGCATTGTTTTTGCATGGTGAACCGGTTCTTCAGATTGATGGAGAATGTGTGGTAGCCATATGGTTCTATATAACGTTAGACCCTTTTTGAAAACGGTTCTATATAGCACCAAAAAGGGTTCTTCTACACAAACCATGTACTTCAGTTAAAGTAGAGATACCCAAGGTAAAATGAAAGTGTTTGTATAAATTCAGAAAAAAGACACGTCAGTCACAACTGCATATGTGTATATCTTTCTATATTGTGGTCTATTTACACAAAGTTAGGTTAGTTCATCATTTATGTTGAATAGACTCTCCCAAAATTTTACACTGCTGCACTGATGTTGAACTGTGTGCTGCACTGGGTCGGTATGACCAACAGGTCAAAACAAGCTCAAAACAAAGTGCACTCTGTGCCCTGATTGGTGTTCTTCCTTCATGCTTCTTTCGTTTTGACGTTACGTTTTTATACACACATAAACCAAAAAGGAACGACAGATTTCTCATAATGTGGTGGAGTAAAAAGTGAGATATTTGGCTTTGTAATGTAGTGGAGTGAAAGTAAAAAGTCGCCCAAAATGGAAATACTTCAGTAAAGTACAGATACACGAAAAACTACTTAAGTACAGTAATGAATTACTGTTACTTTGTTACTATCCACCACTGGTTGTTACAAGCTTGATGTCGTCACTACTGTTACAATGTCAAGCTCCGAAGAAACATTTCTCCATGAAATTTAAGCATGAAATTGTCCTATATAGAAGTCATGGCTCTAAATAGACTTATTTCCTTTACTAAAGAACCCTTAAAGAACCATCTTTTATAAGTGTATAATTTCAGCCATTTGCCTTTCAGGAAGCTTGTCTTTGCCAATTCAACACTATTTCATTGCCTGTCATTGTACAGAAGTAACTGAAAACAACAACTTAATATACGTGACACAAATGCATAGTAGATGTGTGCTGTGTATGAAGGGGAACTCCACTGATATTCCTAAATTTCTCCATATTTCAGTCATTTCAGGTAAAATGGTGCATTGTAGAGAAATGTACTGACTCATTTCCTCACAGTGGCGATGATAGGAACCAGGGGTAGCAGTGTCTGTCATGCAAATGTAGCCATTTTATTTATTACCCAAAAGGGTGAGTGAAGCAAGTGGGGGTTCTATTTTGTCTTCATGACACCTTTTAATGTACCTTTGTCATCAATAGTTTTAAAAAATATGGCAAAATATTGTAAAACAGTGTATGAGACATTGGGCAGCATATTCAAAGCCAATTTCATGTGAATATGTATTGCTGGCTTGGCTCCATAACCTCTGGCATTAATATTTGTGTAGTTACATTAACTCTCTCTATCTTTCAGATGCATGTCTGAGATGTCAGGCGGAGAATAAGCAAGAGGACTGTGTTGGTAAGTACCACAGTTAATCTAGCATGCAGCAGAACAGCTACAGTGAGACACAGATTGACTGATTATCAGCTGCGGTGTGGTTGTAACTAACATGATGATGTCTTTATGACTCAGCTGGTGTGGCTAACTGTGTTTACACTGACTTGGAACTGTTTGAGCTGTAAGCAGCACCAATTTGTGTCTTTCAGTCACACAGCTAACTCAGAAATGTGGTACTGTGCAAGAGCCAGAAACCACCCCTCATTTTTCCATCTGAATTTACATGCCTAAATCCGTAAGGCAGATTATTCAGTAACTGCATGAGATAATAAAATTTTTATTATATATATATATATATATATATATATATATATATATATATATATATATATATATATATATATATATATATATATATATATAATGCGGCCTCCGAAGAACACAGCCCCTGAATTGGGACACATCCATTGTACAGGACAGCTGAGCTCAAACGATGCAGCAAAGTAAAATCACAAAAAATGGAGATACTTGCTTTTCATTGGACAGCGATGATATGCAAGTGGGCTGTTTTATGTCTAATCTCCTCAGAAGTATCTCTTGGAAAGTGAATAACTTGTACTTAATGGCCGTTTTGACTGGAGATTAAATAAATAAAGGTGGTCTCTAACTTGTGTGCGGTGTTGTATATGTAGGGTAATAATGTCTTCCTGTTTTTTCAGTCGTGTGGGGAGAGTGCAACCATTCTTTCCATAACTGCTGCATGTCTCTGTGGGTGAAGCAGAACAACCGATGCCCACTATGCCAACAAGACTGGGTTGTTCAGAGGATTGGGAAGTGAGGTCACCGATGACTATACACTGAATTCTTTGTCCGCTCTGGGCCCCACCTGGCTTCGGGACACTGGACAGAGAACACTTGTTAGCTGCCCGATGTGACAGCTGTGTGCATGTTTGTGACTGTCAAACAGAACCCATGGACTTCACCAGGACTCCAGGTGATGCTGGCTGCCTGTCTCCCTGTCTGCCAGTAAAAAGCACGAGACTAAGAAGCACTGTGGAGCAACACTACGGTGTCCTTGGGAGTGTGGATGGGAGCATGGATGGTGCTGTGAATGTGTCTTTAAAGTATGTTATAATCTAAACAAATAAACATTAAAATAGGTTAGGTCCGTCTTTTCTGTCGTTCTGTTGGTTCACTGTTTTGTAGATTATTTCTTTATTGGTTCCTGAAGCTTCAGGAATTTGCAACACACCCTGATGACTGTCCCAGGACTAGTGCTGGGTTTGATATCAGAGGACATGGAAAATCTCATTATTTTGGCCCTGCTCATGTCTGACACACCCAGTAGTCCCGTAGAATTTTCCTTCCACCAAATTTTTCAAAGTTTTAGTATAATTCAGTGACTGAGATACATCAGCAGGCATTCAGAGTGGTTTAATATGAAACTTAGAGAAGGTCTCAGTGTCTCCAATGCAAATCAGTGATTTTATGTTCTATCCAAAATGATTAATGTGCTGCAGTAATGGTAAATCTGGGGGGCGTGTGCACACGCCTCTTTACTATGAATGTATTTTTAAAATTAAATATAAAAACAGCTCAGTCAGTAGGCACTGTATTCATAACATTTCGTGTAAAAGCTTTCTTTTGGGGGGGGGGTGCTTTAAGAGGCATTAAACTCTTTGGATGTCTGGTTCCTATCAGCACCACTGCAAACAGTTCTGATGTGGCAGGTTTCTGTATAATGGAGCATTTCATTTAATTGTACATCACTGTCCTGAAGACTTCTCATGATTTATTTCATTTCGCTGTTGTCGGAAGAAAACCTTGTGTCTCCAGAATGGTAACTTTACAGGAGAAGGAAAAAAACCTACTTTACTTTTAATGGAAGTCAATGGAACCAGACTTCCAAGTCATTTTGGGCCGTTTCTATTGGTCCCTTCATCATGAAATTTACACGCAATGTAAAGGCCAACAGACATGTTCAGATTATGTGAAAAACTGAAAAATGACAAAAATGGAGATACAAGGTGTTCTTCCGACAGCAGGGATTATTATATGTATGTATGTTATTGGCGATAACACACTCCTCGAGTGTTCTATTGCTTTTATACAACAGTTAAATAAATAAAGTAATACATGAATAAACTGTGAACGCGGCGTTTAATATGTTTTAATGTTTGCAGTTCCTTCACCTATTATAGTTCCTTAACAAGCAGCTTGTTGCTACGTCAGAGTAATGAACTCCGCCCACTCGCTGCACAGCCGGCAGTTCGTTCTCCAGCTCCACACAGACCAACTGACAGTTTGGGAATTTAGTGTCGTCTCATCTTCAGAGTCTGACCAAATCGGCTGTCGGTCAAATGTGATCTTAAAAGTGTCCATTTTCTGTTTGTGGCAAAGTAAGAAGTAAAAACGTTCAAATGGCTTCAGCGTCTCCTACAGCTGTCAAAGTGTCTCAGCAGAGTGATACAGTGTTTGTGAAAAAACCGTGATGTTATGGTATATATATATATATATATATATCACTATTCATTTGTCAATTAACATGTTGAAAAAATACTGCCTTTTAAACAGCAGTCCACAATTGAAAGGGTAATTTTGCACCAACAACAAATCTGAATAGGAATACACATTTTTGTAAGACAGACGGAGAAGCTAGTGATCAACAAATAATTTAGCAGGAATGTTTGAAATAACTAAGTGAAAGAAATCACAGTAGATCAGACCTGCTTATCTTAATCTTTAATTGTCTTAAATCTGCTTTTTCTTTACTGTGGACGCTAATAAAGTTTTTGCAGCTATATTATGCTTGGTATGCTGTGTTTTTCTTAACAATAAATAAGATGGTCTGGTGGTTCAGCTTGAAATAAAAACATCCCTCTTGGTTGCTGTGTACTAAATCAACAACAATTTACATAAAACTTCTAATATCATCTAATATCAAGTACAATGATAAATAATATGGGAATAAAGAGGTCATTTTGACCCTGACTGGCATTTAGTGAACACTTGAGCTATGAAGGATGGGCTAGTCTTATTACAATCAATCATACAGCCTTTACTTTCTAAAGAACTGTACGCACCGAAATACACTGTATGTCCGAAAGTGTCCAGACACCCCTTGTAATTAGTGAATTGGGTTATTTCAGGCTGCACTCATTGCTGACACAGGTGTTCAATTGCGCACACCCAGCTTGCTTAATCTCCTTAGGAAAGCACTGCCAGTAGAATGTTATGCTCTGGAGCAGCTGCATGCGTCTAAGGTCGCCATGAGCAAAGCTAATGAGAGTATAAAGCCACCCAGCACTGGAACGGCGTTCTCTGGAGTGATGGAGCTCCATCCAATACCTTTGTACAATCACATTCTCACAGCAATGTTCCAACATCTAGTCTAAAGCCTTCCCAGAGGAGTAGAGGCTGTTATTGCAGCAAAAGGGTGGGCAGCTATTAATACCCTTGACTTGGGGGGTATTCAGGAGACCATGTCCAAATTTCTGACCATGTCACAAGAAAGTTATTCAAAGTACAGCCATGTATTCAGAAAATATTAAAAGGTTTACAAATGTTAAACAAAAAATATATTAACAACCAGTTTTTAAGAGCTATATATTATAAATTTTCCCATTTATCTGTAGGCTAGTTCTATAACTACTGACATTTTGTTTTCTTTGATGAAATCAGACCTTAAGACCACATCGTTTCTCATTCATCACCTATGTAATACACCCACAAAAAAAAACAACATTAATAGTTAGTTAGTAAGTACATTCTTTTACAACCCCATTTCCAGAAAAGTTGGGATGCTGTGCAGGACCCAAAGACCAAAAGATCACAGCCAGCAAATACTGGTTTTTGGTCTTGTCCCTTACATACAGAGATTTCTATTATGTACTGTAGATGATGAGAAGCAGAAGTCCTTTGCTACTTTATATTGAGAAACGTTATTCTTGAATTGTTGCACTATTTGATGGTGCAGTCTTTCACAGAGTGGTGAACCTATCCAATCATGTTACTGACCTGTTGCCAGTCAACCAGCAGGTGCTTTTTAGCATTACATAACTTTACCAGCCTTTTGTTGCCCTCGTCCCAACTTTTTTGAAACATGGTGTTGGCTCAAATTCAAAATGGGCAAATATTTTTCAAAAAACAATAAAATTTCTCAGTTTCAACAGTTAATATTTTGTTTTTGTACTATTTTCAATGAAATATATGATTTGAACATCATTGCATTTTGTTTTTATTTACATTTTGCACAGCATCCCAACTTTTTTGGAAATGGGGTTGTAGATTATCAGCTATCTTGTTTTTTATTTTGTACAACATTTTACGTGAAAAAATAAAAGCTATGCTTCATTTACATTTTAGTGCCGCCCTCATTTTAAATACAGGGGATCAAACAATGCCATACCATGCTTATACATTCATCCATCTTCTAAGCTGCTTATCCTGCTTTGTCGCAGGGGGTGCTGGAGCCGTCATTGGGCAAAAGGCAGGAAACACCCTGGACAGGCCGCCAGTCCATCTCAGCCATGCTTATACATACATATATATATATATATATATATAATATATATATATACTGTTTTCTCCTTGCAGGGGCTCAATTAAGTAATTAAAATGTCTTTAAATTACACCCCTTTAACTAAACCTAAATATTTCAATGTTACCACATTATACATGTTTACTTCACATATCTGTGCTTAACCATAATATTCCACCACTATATTTTGACAGCACACATCTCCAGTGTCCACCTTGGCCAGCACTTGCACTTGGAATAGTGGCTAAACTTACTTAGCCCAAATCCTCTTAAAGAAACCCACAACCAACAAATAAGCTCACAAAGACACTTACCTAGGAGAAAATCCCTCGCCAAGGTCTTAATTCTACATGAGCAATTACGTGAGTGGCACTGAGAGGACTTGCCTCTTATGCAGAGTAGCTTCAGACTATTAGTCTTGGGTGGAACTCAAAGCTGTTCTCAAACTCCAGGACAGGCGCACATAAAAGGTACACTGTTAAATTAAGGTTCTTGGCTTGGTGATGCGGTTTGTGGAGAAAGTTTTAACTGGTCTAGAGTGATGTGGGTTGTTTAAACATTAAAAAGGTTCATCTTTTAAAAAATTCTTTCATTTAAAGGTTTCTTTAGTAGTTTTTCTACTTGATTTAGAATCTCTTGACCCTTTCTGGTGCATTGCGGTGTGTACCTTTAGTTCTCGATCATTTTCACTGTAGCTCCACATAAGGAGCTCCAAACTGACCTGCAGCCATGTGTGACATGGGGGGACTTGAGAACCTGGTGGCCAACACGGCCTACCTGAATGCCCAAGGCGGAGATGACAAGGAATTGAGGAGACGCCGGCGGAGCCTCCTCCTGCCCAGACCTGAGCAGTGTGCAGCAATTCGTTCATCCATTCCCCTTGACTTTGAGCAGGTTTGCGAAAGGCAGCCCATCGGGAAGAAGCTCTTCAGACAGTTCCTCCTGGCCTCCAAGCCGGAGTATGCAGCTGCGGCTGAATTCCTGGATGAGCTGAACGAGTGGGACCTGGCAGAGTCGGGATCGAAGGACAAAGCCAGGCAAAACATTACGAACAAGTTCTGTAAAGCCGAATCCAGCAGCTTCCTCTCCTACTTGAGCGGAGATGTGGCGGATAAATGCAAGGCAGTTTCGGAGAAGGACTTTGAGGAGGTCATGATGGGGAAAGTGAAGGATGCCACTAAGGAGTTTCTGAAGGGTAAACCTTTCACCGAGTTCCACACCAGCTTGTTCTTTGACAGGTTTGTCCAGTGGAAGGCGTATGAGAAGCAGCCAATTTCAGAGAAGTACTTCTACGAGTTCAGGACTCTGGGAAAAGGCGGGTTTGGCGAGGTGAGTTTTCTTTCTCCTTCTTTGACGCCTCTGTTTTAGTGTCTGCTTTTGGCTTTCTCCAGTTTTTCTTGTCACATACATTTTTCGGTCTAGCAGACTCTGAAATCCTCATTGGCGTTCACAGATCTGAAAATGTCTTTATATCAAAGTGCCGGTTTCTGTAAAAGACTTCAAATCTAATAAAATTGCACAGAAATATTCAGATCAATGTTACTTTTCACTTGTTTTACTTATTTTGCTAAAATAAGTTTAGTAAAGACGCCAGCATGTTTTGGCTCAACCATGCAGTCGGTTAATTCCTTTAATATCGGTTTATTCTACTGTAATAAGATTAACTAATACCCTGAGGGGTATTATATAAAGTACTATACAAAAGCCAGAGACCACCCTTCGTTGATTTTTAGTCAAAATGGCCATGAAGTACAAATTATTGATTTTTTTAGAAAGTATTCCTGAGGAGATTACACAAAATAATCCAATTAAAAATTCACTTGAAGCGGAAAGTGAAAAGAAAAACAGACTCCAAAACTGGAGTTCAACATTTAAAATGATATATTGAAAGTGGGACTCTTAACAACCGTGCAAGACCACCAAAACTGTCACCTTCAGAAAAAAAGTTTCTATATTTAATCTAGAGGGAAAAAATCCAAAGGCATTTCTGTCAATCATTCCACTGTGAGAAGTTAGTAGCTGTGAAGAAAAAGGGAAATAAATAGAAAAGAAGAAAATAAAACAAAGAAGCTGCTGGTGTTCTAAGAACAATGGACTGGATCATGAGGAGCAACCAGCTTCTAAGACTGAACTTTGGGGGTGTGGAAAAATATCCCTGCAGATTTCTTTGAAAAACTGAAGTCAAGTCTTCTTGAAGCTGTAATAAAGGCAGAGAGTGAACACACTAAATACTGAAAAAACTTTTATTATGTTTAGTTGTTGAAATGTACATTCTACAGAAACGTCCACTTTTCTATCTGTCCATAGGAGTCACTGGTGTTACTGATCCTCATTGGTGTTACACATAATACACCAGAGACATTTTTAATGAACGAAGCACAAAAAAACAGCTACAGAGCATCAAACCACATGTTGTCAATCATGGAATATCCACTAAAATATGGAATTTAATCCATTTGTATTCTATTTTTTCACTGTTACCTCAGAATAAAGTCGGTCACACCAGTGACTTCAGCTAAAAGCTTCATATGAAATCATGAGCTAAATGGGAAAATCTCTGATAAGTGAAAGACACAGTGGACTCACCATGTGCTTTTCTTCATAGATCCTCAGAAAACAGGTGAAAATAAGTCGAGGTGATGGCATCAGTGTGGCTTTTATTTCAAAATAAGAGATTTTTTGATATGCAGTAACACCAGTGACACGACTCCTGGGGACAACTGCATTATATATTGTATAATATTTATTTGGCATTTGTTTTCTTTATGTCATTTAAATCATATATTCCATAGTCATGTATAGATTATTACAGTTAAAATTGCAGAAAAATGTGTTTTTTTACCTCAAGATATGGCCTCAGCCTTTACACATGACTGTGGAGACAAGTTCTTCTGTGGTGCTTGGAATTCTATATGATTGATTTAAAAACCACACACACACCATCTAAACTGCTTATCCTTCTGGGTCACGGTGGGGTGCTGGAGCCTATCCCAGCTGTCATTGGGCAGAAGGCAGGATACACCCTGGACAGGTCGCCAGTCCATCGCAGGGCAGACAGACAGACATACACACACAGGGGCAATTCAGCATGTCCAATTGGCCTGACTGCATGTCTCTGGACTGTGGGAGGAAACCCACGCAGTCCTGGGGAGAACATGCAAACTCCACACAGAAAGAACCCTGGTCACCTGGCCGGGAATCGAACCCAGGCCCTTCTTGCTGTGAGGCGACAGTGCTACCCAAAAACCAGTATTGCTAAATTGATGGCTCAAGAAGGTGTAATCGTTACAATAACTTATTGTTTTATAAGTTGTGAGTAAGTAATGGCTGTTTCAACTAGAAATTAAATAAATGAAGGGTGGTCTCTGAATTTTGCACGATACTCTATATCTCTACAACACAACTGAGCTACTGTTCCATTTTTAATCTCTTAGTTATATGAACATAATACAGTCCTTCACATTTCAACCACAGCTTTCATCTGTGAGTATGTGACAGCATATTCAAACAGCATTAGGATATGCTGTTACAAGGTCACTGACTGAAGCCATGGATGAAACACAAAGGAGTATCTTAATCTGACAGAATAATAGAAGAATGTCTTCCTCGTTTTAATGAGGATTAATCTCTATTGATCATGGCCTGCCAGCCAGGCCCTGCTGTGAATATACTATTTTAGAGCATCTGACTCCTCTGAAACAATGGGAACAATGAAGATCCCATCTTGGTGAGGAAGTCAACAATCACCTTTTCATTCTGAACCAATGGTTTGAATTTGAACTGGACAATGGCTTGTCAAGTCAAGTCAAGTTTATTTATAGCACTTTTTACAACAGGTGTTGTCACAAAGCAGCTTTACAGAAAAATCCGGGTCTGAGCCCCCATAAGTGTTGCCAATGGCGACAGTGGCAAGGAAAAACTACCTAAGAGCAAAAGGAAGAAACACTGAGAGGAACCAAGACTCAGAAGGGGAACCCATCCTCCTCTGGTCGACACCGGACAGCAAACAGCGTTAGAATAAAATATTAGAATACAAAACGGGAAAAACAGGTGAAGCAATGGTTAAAAAGGTAGTTTGAGTTTATGCAGCAGCAGCAGCAGGAGGGTCAGATCATGCAGGTGAGGTTTGCACAGCTTTGTACAGCATGAAGCTCCATGGTGGTCAAAACGGTGCAGACCAACCAACGGAGAATGAGCTCTGGTGACTCTAGCAGCTCTGCTGGCTCCCATGTGGTGACACAGGCAGATGTCGCTCAGGGACTCAAATAAAGGAAAGAGAGCGCGCGAGAGAGAGAGAGAGAGAGATTAACAGGACAGGTCCGTTTATGGAGAGATATTAGTCAGTTAATAGTGCAACAACTGATATTAGCAAAATGATTGTGCAAACAAAAAGTTTTGAGTCTAGTTTTAAATGTAGAGAGTGTGTCTGAGTCCCGAACAGAGGTCAGGAGATGATTCCACAATTTTGGGGCTACGTAGGAAAAAGCTCGACCCCCTGCTGTGGTTTTCATAATTCTAGGATCCGTCAGCGGGCCGTTGTTTTGTCAGCAGGCCGTTGTTTTGTGTGGAGTGTACTGTGGGTTCATATGATGCTGGTTGCATGATGTAATGTAAGCCACATAGTTGAAAGTGAAATGATTCCACAATAATGACATTATCTCCTCTTAAGGTTTGCGCAGTGCAGGTTAAGAACACAGGCCAGATGTACGCCTGCAAGAAGCTGGACAAAAAGCGTCTGAAAAAGAAAGGTGGGGGGGCGATGGCCATGCTGGAGAAGCGCATCCTGGAGAAGGTGAACAGCCGTTTTCTGGTCAACCTGGCATACGCGTATGACACCAAGACCCACCTGTGCCTGGTCATGAGTTTGATGAACGGAGGAGACCTAAAGTATCACATCTATAACTTGGGCGAGCGAGGAATCGAGCTGAACCGCGTCATCTACTACACGGCTCAGATCACTGCCGGCCTCCTGCACCTCCATGCCATGGACATCGCCTACCGGGACATGAAGCCAGAGAATGTGCTGCTGGACAGTCAGGGCCAGTGCAGGCTGTCGGACCTTGGGCTCGCCGTAGAGCTGCCCGGTGGGAAAACTATCTGCCAGAAGGTGAGGAATGGGGAGAGGGATGAGGTTTGGGATGCTTAGACACAGGTTGGTCCAGGTGGGTTGGTCCAGGTGGGTGGGTCCAGGTGTGTGGGCAGGCAGGCAGGTTTTTCCACACCTATAAAGTTCAGTCTTAGACATTGCTTGCATTTTGTCATTTTTAAAGTTCAGACACATTAAATGCTGTTGAACCTGGGGTGGCCAGTCGATTGTTCTGAGAACAACAAATGTTCCTCTTTTTTCTGCTTCCTTTTCGCAATAATAATAATAATAATAATAATAATAGCTAGTTGACAACTACACATCCTTTCAGGCCCAGAGCAGTGAGTTGTCTTCTCACAGGATGGGCAGAAATATTTGGAGAATTTTTTCAGAATTTCAAAACTGAAGCAAGAGTGAAGCTTTATTTCCTTCTGTCTCTTAACGATGAAAGCTTTAAGAAGTGTTTATCTAAAGGGGGAAATTTGGGGGTCACAGCCCAGTAATGGGAGGCTTCAGACCCCTTCAGCTGATGTTTGGCATTGGTCATGGTGACCCCAGGTGTGTCCGCGGCTGCTCCAGGGCATCCCTTTTATTAGCAGTGCTTTTCTACAGAGACTGTACAAACTGTGTATATGCAAATGATCACCTGTGTCAGCAACGGAACTGCAAGTAGCTGAATTCACTCATTAGAATAGGTGTCTGGAAACTTTTGGACACGTAATGTATACATATTAAGGAAAAATAATAGAAATAACATACAGAATTTACAAGCTTTACCCTGGACTTCAATTACACAATAGTTTATAAGTGCATGTTTGGATGTAGGTGAATGTTTACATCTCGACTCAAAGATGAGCCTGTGTGATATTAGGATTGTAGGAAAACGGTGGTCACTGTACACAAGAGTCCACCACCAACCATCTGCCTCTCGCCCACCTTAAACAACACATACAGCTTCATTTTCGAATTTGAAATCATATTGATTTAGTATATAAAATTGGAAATATATGCAAAGACATTAAGGCTATATTGACTTTGCATCAGGTTCCACACAATTTGCATAGTTCCACACAATTTGATTGGTTGAGAAGTGTTTTACCTGTCTGTTATCTGTGCAAAATTATTTCACAATAGCTAGCATTCTTAATGCTTCAGTTAACAGTAACTAAGCTTCTGCTTTCGCACATACAAAAGCAGAAAACAGCAGGTTTTTGCGAATTTTGAAAATGTGCAAAAAAACAAACCAAAGAAAAGCCCATAATTTGAAAAAACACCCAAATATCACAAAGGGTTTTTAAGATAGGATGAGATGGGAAAAGTTAGCGTATCGCTAAAGCTGATATTGCGAAAATGGGGGCCAAGGGTTTTTCGAATAAACAATGATGTATCAAGTCATCAGTGATAAACGATTGGCACCATGGCTTGGTGTATAGTTTTCTGAAGGTTGCTTTCAACATTCTGAAATGCCTAATCTAAAGCTGGTTTAAAAATGACAGTAAAGATATCTCTACTTAAAGCAAAACCCAAGTTAAATCTTTCCATCTTGCTCATTTGGATGCAGCCCCTAATCATGGTAGTCTACGTCATGGAAACACAATTAAATTTTTCTACCAAAATGAGCATGACATGGTAATGGCAACATTAGATAACATCTATAAGATGAAATTTGTATCTGCAGCTTGTTTAGTCAGTGTGATAGCAGATCTACATCAAATTCTGGACCTGTCCTTGCCACTAAACAAGCTTTTCGGTCAGCAGCTTTGACAGATGGACTGTGAAATGCGAGCCATTGACTGAAAAAAAAACACCATTAAAGTTAATCTGGCAAATATTGAAAAAACTGTGCTGAACCTGATATTTGCTATATCTGTAATGTCAAAGGCTCCTGTGTCTTCAGGCAGGAATAACTAATACTAAAGCACTTTTTTAAAACACAATGTTTGGTGCTTCCTTGCTTTACTTTACTCTTTATTTTGCAGAGCTTTGGCTTGTGCCTGCGACTAAATCACCTCCGTGATGTTATTTGTGATAATGCATTCCCTCTCATGTTGCTTAATTATGAAGATGCCTCTATCAGCACTATACTGACATGCTTGATACACACAGGGCCTCAAAAAGCTATCTGATCAGATTCTGCCATGTGGATTGAATTAAAACCCTCAATCAGCCAATGAAACAGGACTTAATCCAACTCAGAAGCCAAAACCCGATTGGTTATCTTCTGCAAAACTGGTTCCTGATGTCATACACTGAGCGGATTTAGTCTGTCAAGGCAACTCGGAGATGGTTTTGACAGAAATCTGATTGGAGCCCTGACATAAGTCCTAGGATCTCTGAACGTCCGTAATCTCAAGTGGCTAAAATCGATCATCAGCTGATTAGATATTACCTTCTGCTTCCAAGAAATGCACACAAACACTCGCACATACACACAGAGGGATGCAGAGGAGTCTGGATTGACCTTCACTATTTAATCGAAATTGTGGGCTCCCAACCCCGGGGGGCCAGACCACTCAAAGAGGACTTCACAATAGTGTGGTAGTTGAGACTATTAGAGCTGAGACTCAGACTGCTTTCACCTACCTTGTTTGATATGAATATACATAGAGCCTTTTCCTTAGTCCAGTCCATTTTTGATAAATGTAAACACTCCACTCGTACTCGGGTATCAGCTGATGCGTGGTCCAGTCCACCAAAAATTCGGATGTCGATCTCGGTCTGCCTCCAATGCCTGGTTCAGTTTGTTGCTGGTGGGAACAAAGTTTTATGATGATCCACTTCAAACAAGTGAATTCAGCAGCAGAGCCTGCTTTTCTCAGTGCAGTCAATCTGCCAGTTTTAATAGTTTGACCCTTGACAGAGGCTCTTGTTGCTCTTGCAGCCTGAACCACTGTTAATAACGACATACAAGAGAACTGTCCTGTTTTCAGTTGTTCCATGCTTTTCATCCTGGTGGTGCTTACCTGTATTTTCAACTAATTACTATTTTTTCATACTCATTTCCTAATCAGTCTCATTTGCACTGACAGCTGTTCCTTTTTACCCATGTTGATGGATGACAAAATGATTTTGCATGTGTATAACCTCATATTTGTACCCCAGGAAAGCTGGAAATGGTCACAGACAACAAAGACAAACAAACTCCTGGAGAATAGGAGCGATAAAAAGAATATTTTTTTTTTCCCAAAGATGAAAATTTCTTTGGTTACATTTAAAATATTATTTAGGGGTGCCCATAATTTTGCCCTAGATGTTTTTGAAAGAATGCACTATTCTTAAAATAAAATGCTCATGTAGAAAAGATTTCTATTAGATAAATGGTATGAAATTTCTCCACATATTTTGAGGAACATTTGAATAATTATATGTATACTTTATTTTACACTGTTTTCAGTTAGACTGTTTTGTGCAGTTTATTGAGGAGTTCCAAGAATTCTGCAGTTGACTACATGTTATTTGATGTTAATATATTGATATCAGGTCTTTTGCAGATGTGCAGATGTGCAGAGGTCTTGTGGCAGATTTTTAGCACAGTGATGTTTGTGTACCACCATGACATTAAAAAGAAATTAAAAGGCCAATAGCATGGAAAACCAAAATTTCATTGCTTCTTTAAAATAAAAGTTTGATATAGAACATTGTTGATGTTTCAAAAAGTACTGTTCCCTCCACGGTTCATACCATCAATATGGGGAAACAGCTGAAAGACAGCCTGTTTTGAATTCATTGATTCTGTGATGTCAAGAAAACCAACATATTTGCATTTATCCACCGATCTGGCCTACAGCTCTGCCCGTTCATGCTGGAGTTATGAGGAACTTTTTGGCCTGGACTGCAAATAGCCACTAATATTTTGCTAAATTTCCTTCAGGAAATGAAGTATCTATCTATCTATCTATCTATCTATCTATCTATCTATCTATCTGTCTGTCTGTCTGTCTATCTATCTATCTATCTATCTATCTATCTATCTATCTATCCATCCATCCATCCATCCATCCATGCTAAATTTCCTTCAGGAAATGAAGTATCTATCTATCTATCTATCTATCTATCTATCTATCTGTCTGTCTGTCTGTCTGTCTGTCTATCTATCTATCTATCTATCTATCTATCCATCCATCCATCCATCTGAAAGCAGGGCAATTTAGGGGGCACAGTTTGTGTTGTGTTCATCTTTTCCTAGAAGAGTGGAGCATTTCAGTCAGGGTGGCATTTCAATTTAGCTGATCAGATAGTTGATACTGATCAGACACTCTTTTCACGACTTTCGTTTTACTCCAACTCACTCCCTCAACCCTGCATCCACTCCAGGCTGGCACCAGTGGGTACATGGCTCCTGAGATTTTGAAGGAGGAGCCGTATCGTATGTCAGTGGACTGGTGGGCTCTGGGATGCAGCATCTACGAGATGGTTGCAGGCCGACTGCCCTTCAAGGACTACAAGGAGAAGGTCCAGAAGGAAGAGGTAGCACGGAGGGCCCTGGAGGACGAATGTAAGTTCAATCATAAGGGCTTTGATGCTGCGACTAAGGACATAATCAGCCTCTTCCTGAAGAAGAAACCTGAAGAACGACTAGGCTGCAAGTAAGTGGCAGCATTTCATACTGTTGAGGAGGAAAAGATGGAATTCACTTTCCATCATTTCTCTCAATATCTAAATTTGAATATTGAGTCTGTTATCAGTAATTTCCAGCAACAGTGAACCACTCAGCAGACAGAAATGTGAGGTTGTCTAGTTAACTTAGCATGTGGTAACCAGCTATGAGGACCTCAGTAAAACCTCAAGTATTTCAAGTATCTCCAACCATGATATTTAATGTGGAAACAATGCTTTTCTGATAATGCGGTAGCCCACTCAGGGACGTAGCCCCCACAGGCCTATTCAATCAAATGGGAAAATAATATTTAATAAGTCGCATATTTTAAGATAGTGACATTAGATTTGTTTTCTGTGAGAGTTGTTGCTGTGTTATTTGTGTAATCAAATCATTGCGCTCTAAGCCAAGCTCCACCTTATCTTCTTACAATTGCTATCCAAAATTGCCTCAAGCCTTCGGTTTGTTGCCAGCAGCCATCAATGACAGAGGTCCTTAGAAATTTGTGTCTACACAATCAACAGTGACTGGTTCTCAGCTGACCTCAGAACAGCTGTGATTGGCCATAGACTTCTCGCTCTGTACAAGACACAAGAGTTTATGAGAGTAATTAACAGATTATGATTGGAAAATGCATCCTGTATAACTTGGCATGCTTTGGCCTTGTTCCAGTAGCCGCTCAGTTTAGGCTCTAGGCTCCATATTTGGCTATATTAGTGATTAGGTGAGAAATTAATGGTAGTTCAAAGCTGTATTTTGTTACCTACTCCTAACATATTGTAGCCCGCATATTTATGGCACAGTATCAGATAATGTAATTCTGCAATCAGCAGGTACATTTGGCTGTATTGTTTGGTAAATTGTATGAGAATCTTCTTTCCTGTTAGCTGGGGTTTGGACGAGACAGACTTTTATAAAGATTTTCTGGTAACAATTTCTATGAATGTGACGTTTGTAAGCATCTATAAACACATTTATAACATGTTATAATGCATTCATAAGGCATTATAAACGTGGTTATAATATATTTATAAAAATGAGTTGCACTGAAATACACTTTATAGCCATGGTTATTATACATTATGAATTGTTAATATAATGCATTATAACTAGTGTTAACTGTCAGTGCCAAAGAAGTCAGTCCCAGCTTGGAGAGTTTATTTATACCCTGTGATTTCCAGTATTTTATTTCTCAGTGCTGGTGCTATTAGGGCTGCATCTTCAGTCCTGAATATTCAGATGCTCCAAACAGGCTGTCCAGGCTAGAATTACTGCTACAATGTGCTTTTCTTAACCAGAGCTCCCACTTTAAACACTACATTACATCACAGCAAACCAAGTACCCATCAGCCCCTCTCCTGAACCCCCTCTGACATCACACTGAGCATGAAGTCACTGTGAAGGCCTGGAGAGGGAGAGGTGAGATAGTACAGTGCTGTCATTGTAATTTGTTCTCTCACTGGTTCTAACGTCAAACACTAGAACCCTTCACTGTGTATCATCACTACATACACTACAGTAAAGCTAATTTCTGCTAGCATTCTATTGGATATGCAGTGTTAAGTTAGCACCAAGCTAACGGTGGTGTACATTGACTTTCCCACATTGGGTAAAACACTGATGGCAGCACTAGTTTAAACTCTGACATTTGAAGCCTGTAATGTGCTTTATTGTGTATGTTTTACTGTTTCAGTAAATCCTTCAGTAAATACTTCAACTTGAAGCCTCACTCTTAACACTGGAGGAGGCTTTAGTACAGTACGTTTCACTTTACTTAGAGCGGACAAATACAACTTATGAGCTCTTATAATTTGTTATGAACATATATATAAGGTATATAAGTTTCAGCATGTATTTTTAACTAAGAATATGTGGATAAATAAATAATTAAATGATCAATTAAATAAAATTAGGGTAAATGAAGTTTATGGAACAGTAATAGCAGCGTATGGGAGACTGGATGGATGGGAAAAGAATTAAATGAAAGCAAAAAGTACATAATTATGGACGGGTAAAACAGGAGCAGTGATTTGACAGGTGGGGTAATATACATACTTGGCTGTTAGCCTAGCCACTGTGTAACATAGGTCACTTTTCTGCAAAATGGACCTGATGAATGATCTCAGTTGCGGCTCTCACTGGGCAGGAGATTTGCTGTTATGGTAAATTACTCCTTATAATCTGATAACAGTCTGATTCATTGAAATGTGGGGAACATACGCATGTTCATCAGTCACGGCCATGTTATGCAAAGTGGATGACTAATACTGTTGGGGCTTGGTAACATCTGGAGAACATCATGCTGTCCTGTTATGAATAAGAATAAGACTCAAAACGAAACATTCAGTTTATTGGATTGAGTCAGTTCTGGTAGATACCGTCTGATTCAATAAGATTTTCTTGGATTTGATTACACAGCTGTGGCAATGGTGTAGAATTTCGTTTCTGGGGCGGAGGTGTTCAGGTTTAGGGGAGAGCTTGACTAGATAGGAGATAAATAATGGTTCTATATAGCACCAAAAAGGGTTCTGCTATTGTTATGATGTCAGGCCTGTAATCTTTTTGGCGTTATAAAGAAGTATTTCCAGAAATGGCACTATTCTGAACCACACACGATACATTCTTCATCAATCTGAAGAATGTTGTCACTACGCAAAGAACCATTTAAGCATGAAATGGTTCTATATAGAACTCATGGTTCCTTTTACTAAAGAAGCCTTGAAGAAACTTTAAAGTTAAAAGCATCTTTCCATGAAAAAAGCGTCTTGCTGTGCCTTTTTTTGCGCAGCCTATGTCAGTATGCAGCTGTGTAAATGTTGCCACACTAACAGCATCTGCGAGACGATAGTGACGATGTAAGCTTTATCAGTCTCTTATTTATTTAAGATGGGAAAAAAAGGTAAAAGCCAGCAAGATCTCAGTGCTTTGCTTATGATGAACTTAGATTTTGTACTTTTTTCACTAACATTAGAGAATTCTGACATCTGGAGAGAGGCTTGGTGTATATATAACATGACGATAAAAAAATAAATACAATCTAGAACATCTTTCTCTAATATTCAGATACATATAAACACCCTGTTCAGCTTTATGCAGTGTAAGTATGGTTAGACATACACTAAAGTTTGAAATCAGTTATTTTTACAACAATAACTTGTACAGTATACAGTGCTATGAAGTTATTCCTTTTTTCAGGAGATTTTTCTCAGGAGATTAGATATAAAATAGTGCACTTGCATACAGATGGGAAAGTCAAGAAAATCAATAAAACACAAACAGGAGCTCAGTGATTCAGAGATACAGAGAAAATGGGACTCCCAACAACAGTAAAAGACCTGATAGACACCAACACTGCCCCCATCAGATAAACAGTATTTAAAGCTTTCATCTTTGAGAGAAAATCAAGTTCCACTCCTGCACTGGACCTGAAGTTGTTCTGTCCTGTGAGAAGACAACTCAGCGCTATGGGTCTGAAAGGATGTGTAGGAAATAGACAAAAAGGAACAATGGACTGACCACCCCAGAGTCCAGACCTCAGCATCACTGAATATGTTTGGTATTATTTGGATTGTGAGAAGCAGAAAATACAACCAGCTTCTACGACTGAACTTTGGAGGTGTGGAAAAACCTGCCTGCCTGCAGATTTCTCTGAGAAACTGAAGGAAAGTCTCCTGAAAAGGAATGAAGCTGTAATAACGGCAAAAAGTGGACACACTAAATTGATATTATATTTAGTTGCTGAGGCTGATGGGTGATCATCTGTTAAACATACCTTTTCAGTCTTTTTTCCTGACTCTGAAAAATGAATAACTTACTGAATAATAACTGTTTTGACTGGAAATTATGTAAATGAAAGGTGTTCTATGAGTTTTGCACAGTAAATATTATGAACCAGACACCAAAGTGTTATTTAGATGTTTCATTCAATATTTTAAAATATCTTGTAAACAATGAGTTATTAAATCTTTGAACAGTATTTTTTTGTGGTGTCATTTTTTAGAATCTGAAGAATTCTGAATATTAAATATATCATAAATGTTAACTTTATTTTTGCCCAATGGGCTCAAGCACACCTGGGATTAGATGATGTTTTACTATTAATTTCATTCTTTTATTATTTATTTGTTAGTTTATTTGTTATTATTAATATTCTTATTCTTATTTTATGATTATTTTATTATTTTAGTCATTTTAATTAATTTTTAGTTTACTTTTTGATCTAATCCTCCTTTTGTTTTATTTTATTTTGATTTGATTTTATTCACTTTTACATTTTAGCTATGTTTTAATTATTGTTTTATATTTTTACTGTATTTTCATGTATTTTTTATCGTTAATGTTTAATTTTTTTATACTTACCTGATTTGAGTCATTTTTTTATTAAATGTACTTTTATTATTTGCTATGTTCTTACACATTATCAATCCTTTTTCCTGTATCAACTCGGCAACATTGTAAATGATGGTCACCCTCAATGTTCTCCGAGTTTAAATAGAGGTTGGTTGATTGATTGATTGATTGATTGATGAATGGATTGATAAATGAATGAATGCTAATTTTATTATTAATGTTGCTATCAATGTTATACAGTTTCCTCAGTCCCTTTAGAATCATCCGCAGCTCCGTTCATCTAAATCATCTAAAATGCCTTAGTAGGAATAGATATGCAGAAGCGTGATTGGTCTATACTGTTATACGATGTGATTAGTTCCCTGTAGTCAGTTTGACCTTAAAGTGAGCTGATTTGGCGCTACTACTACTTTTCTAGTATTCTCTTTTTCTTTGAATCAGCTGCTGAACTGCTCTGACCTTGAGTACCTACGTCTGTAATAACCTAACGAAGCTCCTAATTTACCTTTTTTGCATACAGTAGGGACGACCCTCGAAAGCATGCGTTCTTCAAATCCATCAGCTTTCCTCGTCTGGAGGCGGGGCTTATCGAGCCTCCCTGGGTACCCAAGCCCAACGTCGTCTATGCCAAAGACATGGGGGACATCCGGGATTTCTCTGAGGTCAAAGGGGTCGAGTTTGATGGCGATGATGAAAAGTTTTTCAAAGAGTTCAGCACTGGCGCAGTGCCAATTCCATGGCAACAGGAGATGATTGACAGCGGACTCTTTGACGAGCTTAATGACCCAAACAGGAAAGAGTCAAGTCGGGGACTTAAGGAGAAGAAGCCATCAAAGTCTTGCACTCTTCTTTGAAAGAGTCTGTTCATGAGAAAAAGCAGGCAGAGAGCTCTGCTTCAGGCTTACCTGCCACCTCCTCAAAAAAGCATGGGTTGCACTGTACAGTGTGAAAGGAATTAGTCAGTGAAGCAACGTTTGTTGCGTTGGTTACACCAACCGAGGGGGTCGTGTAATATTTCCAACACCAAAAAAGGGTCACGCTGTGAAAAAGGCTAAGAACACTTGTTTTCCATCAAATAGCTTTTTTTAATTTTAATTTGACATGATCTATATTTTTATTATTCTTTTTAAGGTTAAAGGTGCAGTGTGTAAGTCTAAGTGGCATCTAGTGCTGAGGCTACAGATTGCAACCATCTGAATACCCCTCCCTCACCCCTCCCTTTCCTAACGCGTAGTAGAACGTACAGCAGCCATCAGGTTTTCTGCCATAACCTGTCCCCATTTCATTTTGCTTCTTCATGTTTTCGCTTCCTTGATGGCGAGGATTCACCCTCCCTTGCTTTTTCTTGTGCTAAATAATTAGTATGATCCTCCAATTGTCAAAATTTGGGTTCTCAAACGTCTCACAACATAAAATGGTTAGCCAGCACCAGCAGCCACCACTGATTCTTCTTTTTACGTCTTCCAACTGGTGCTATAGTGCCAAGGTGCTGGCGTTTGGTTTGCCCATTCCAGGCTGCTATAGAAACATGGCAGCCTCTGTTAGAAGAGAACCCGCTCCTACATACAGGTGAAAGGCTCATTCTAAGCCAGGGGTGCCCAATCCTGGTCCACGAGATCTACCACCCTGCAAAGTTCAGCTCCAACCCTAATCTATCACACATGATCCAGGTAATCAAGGCCTTCAGGGGCACCTGAATATGTCGCTGTTGTCGGAAGAAAACCTTGTATTTCCAAAATGGTAACTTTATAGGAGAAGGAAAAAAATACTTTACTTTTAATGTAAGTCAATGGAACCAGACATTTATCCAAGTAATTTGGGGCTGTTTCTTTTGGTCCATTCATCATGAAAGTTACACACAATGTGAAGGACAACAACTTTCAAATTATGTCAAAAACTGAAAAAAAATGTGTGTTGGATCTGAACTCTCCAAGGTGGTAGATCTCCAGGACCAGGATTGAGCCCTCCTGTTCTAAGCTTACTAAAACACAATGCTTCATTGCTACAGGTGGTTATACACTAATGAAAACAGTGGTTTTGTATACTGTATTTCATTTCTGCTAAGGGATCCCACTTAATCTCACACACTGCACCTTTAAATCTAACAAATTTTGTAGAGCTCTTGGTTGAATACTGATTCAGCTGTGACTGAGATCGAGTTTTGACTCTGTTTACTTAGTGTAGTCCCAAATAAACGGTAGGTACTTGCACACAAGCCTAAGTGCCGTGACCTGTAGTACCCCTAATCTGCCAGACAGTGTCAGTCAATACTCACCCAGATGGTCTTTCACCATCGAATCCAGTTCTCAGTTGCTCATTCAGCCTTTCACGAGCTGAGGCTGTACACACTGAGGGGTTGTCTGAAGAGGGGCCCTGAAGTTTTTGAGCGAAAATGCCACATTTCAGTTTTTCCTGATTTACTGCAGCCAAATGACTTTCATATTATTATCACACATTGCAGTTATTGATTGTCACTAATATTTGAACCTTGAATTTTTAGACTTAAGATCATTTGATTCAGTGTATATTTTAGATTTTCATTCAAGCTTAAAATACTGAACCTGTAGCCTTTAATCTGCCATTTGAATCCTTCTACAGTTTTGTAACAACTAAGCATAGATGGCTTAGATTCCCTCTTATCCCATCATGAATTCCACCAATTTTTAAAAACCATATTAAGTTTCAAAATGTAAAGAAAAGTTAGTCAAATTCATTGTAGAGAAACTTGTCGACTAAAGTATCTTTACTACAGTAATAAGAACCAGAGATCACGATGACTACAGTGTAAATATAGCTATTTTATTTACTGTACAAAACAACCAGTGAATGTACATGAGTCTTACTGGTTTTGTCGATTCTGGTAAAAAAGAAAAATTTGCCTTTAAATCTGCCTGTTTGCCTCACAACACCCTGAAATCATCTCTCTGCCATGTATAGCTTTAAAACATAATAAGGTTTAGACCAAAACTTTATCTCAAAACCATCGTAAAACAGCATTTCAGACACCACGCAGCACATTCACCAGTTCACCACCATTTCATGTATTAACTTTCTGTAAAGGAGCTTTTGGAGTTTTCAGATGTCTGGTTCCTATCACCACCACTGTGAACACATGCTCACACCAAACCACTCTGAATTAACCTAAAAAAACTGTGTAACTGTGCTTTAAAATGTTACTGTTCAGATTTACTGCAGTAAAAATAGTCAAAGCAAGTTTATTATATAGCACATTTCATATACAAGGCAATTTAATATGCTTTACATGAAATCAGAAAGGAATATCAATAAAGAAAAATAAAGACAATCAGCTTAAAAGTGAAAAACAATAAAATTAAGTGCTAAAATGATACAAAGCGCATTAACTTAAACAGATAATTAAAAGAAGTACAAAGTGCACAGAGTTGCTGGGACTCCAAACCTGTGATTCTTGCTCTGTGTTTAAGACGGTAGAAGCCTGTTTAGGTGATGCTTTGAATTGGACTCAGAGTGAGATCTGAGTCTATTAGATCGCCAAGATTTTGAACTTGGTTTATGGTTTTTGGAGCCCTGGAATCAAGATGTTCACTAATATGAAGTCTCTTTTCTCTGTAGTAATAATAATAATAATACCAATAATATTTCAAATGTTTACGCTGAATCAGGGGGCATACATGCCCCTTTACTAGATTTTCGTGCTATAGAAAAAAATCTGTCTGCTGCTCCAGTTTATTTCTCCTAACTGTATGTAATGTTACGCATCATGATCCTGTACATGTACAGATATGATTTAAGCTTTGCAGTAAGTGGGTATTGTGTTTAAAGTGGCTTCTTCCCTCTAACAAGTAACCTTTAATTAGCAGTTCCATCTTTTATATCTTTCTAACAACAGAAATGATTCTTCCCTCCATCCAGCTACCCAATGTTTCTTTTTCTACAGTATTAGTAATGTGTTTAAACTGATCTGATCAGCTTCACATCTTCAGTTAGTTCTTAAAAGAGGACAAAAAAATGATAGAAAAAAATCTTGTCAGGGACTTTTTGTAGAGGCCAGAAAAACACTATGCAGTGCGAAACATTTTGGCAGTCAAAAACAAACAAAAACAGTAGTTATATATTTTACGCCTGTGTTAATGACCGAGCTGACGGTCACAAACTCCCTGCTGTCATAAACTGGCAGTCACGGCTTTTGCTTAAAGCCCTGGAATTTTTTACTTTTTAAAAGCACCAGTGTGTCCAAAAGCACAGCCCAGAGGTTTAAAAGCACAAATGTTCCCTACATTTGTACGTTTTAGAGGAGAGTTCCACTGATTTTTTAAAACTGCTGCATAATTAAATGACTAAGATGTAAACAGAGTGGTTCAGAGTGGTTTGGCGTGAAACGCTCCGTTCTAGAGAAACTTACAGAGTCAGATATGTTCACAGTGGTTTTGATAGGAACCAGACGTCTGAAGAGTTTAATGCATCTGAAAGCTCCCCCACAGACCATATATGGTGGAGAGGTACATGTAGGACATTGTAAGGGCATTTGTATTAAGTTTTCATTTAATACAATTTTACTATCATCACACATCCCAAAAAAGGCAAAAAGTCCAGCAACAGGGGAGCCAGAAAAGACTTGCTGTTAATTAAACAGTAAAAGTGTGTCAATGGTAAAAATCTGTAAAATTACAGATTGCTAGAATTACTCGCCCTGTGATGGACTGGCGACCTATCCAGGGTGTTTCCAGCTTTCTACCCAATGCCTGCTGTGATGGGCTCCAGCAACCCCCCGACCCAGAAGGATAAGTGGCTTAGATAATGTGTGTGTGTGTGTGTGTGTGTGTGTGTGTGTGTGTGTGTGCGTGTGCGTGTGTGTGTGTGTGTGTGTGCGTGTGTGTTTGTGTGTGTGTGTGTGTGCACTAGAAAGTACTGCCTTTAACTGTAAAGAAAACTGTTTCATGATGTGAACTAGTTATTCTGACATACAGTATTTTACCATTAGAATAACAATAACAACCACTAAAATATATGCAAATGCTGGTGAAATAAAGGCGATAATTTGTTTTAGTGAATATACATTACATTTCTGTAAATCACCAACTACAGTGTTAAAATACAGTATATGTATGGTTTATTTGCATGCATTTGACCTTTTTTCCCCCAAAGGAACAGGAATTGATCGGGACATTTTACACTACTTTGCAGTGATGAGAAATGTTTGTTTTTTTTCTTTTTTTTTTTGTCAGTAAACATTACATATAAAAACATATTTTGTCCTCTGATTCCTGTCACCACCACTGTAAAGAAACCAGAGAGGGCAGGTTTCTCTACAATGAACCATTTCACAGCAAACCACTCCGAATACCTTTGTTTGCATCTTAAGCGTTGAATTATGCAGAAATTCCGAAAATTAAATGGAATTCCTCTTTAGGGATGAACCTGTGTTTGGCCAGCAGAGGGCGCTGTTTGATTTGAAACGCCTTAAGTTCACCTCAGGTTTTCCAAGTGCCTTAAATAACTCAAGTTTTAAAGAAGTCTTGCTAGTGTAACAAAGCAAGACCCCTTTGTGAAAGAAGGAGCCAGGAGGAGGGAAAAGGAGAGAGAAACCTGCGGTTTTGGAAAAGAAGCTGATATTTGTCCTTCTATTTCGTGTTCTTGGCCATGAGGGCAAGAACCGAAATAGCTTTGTGGTTTATTAGGAAAATAAGGCTTGTCTGTTTGCGTTAGGAGGACGAGGGTGAATATTTTTATGATTTTTTTTTCAGCACCCCCCATTGCTTCTCCTGTAATGGAATGTGTTGAATTCTGACTTTCATTTAGATGTACTAAAGGAGAGCCTGGACCACACTGACTTCAGATATAGTGGCCTTCATGTGCGGCCCTCACTTCAGCATGT